CTCGGTGCAGCGCCTTCGTGGCATGCACTCTCGCTTCCTGGTTTCTGGTCTGCCCAGGTCTTTGCCTGCCCTCCCTCCCTCGCTTGCGCCGCCCTGCATTCCTTGCGTCGAGGGGCGGCAGCGCGCCGCTCCTCACTCCTCCTCGTTCCCTCCCACAGAGGCTCCCATGCAGACTCTCCACCTGGACGTGTGGGGCACAGCCCGCGTCCGTGGACAGGGCCACGAGCGGTACTTCCTGCTGGTTGTTGACGACTACACGCGTTACACCACGGTCTTTTCCCTGCGCAGCAAGGGGGAGGTCCCTGCTGTTTTGATCCCTTGGATCCGCGCTGCCCGTCTCCAGCTCCGCGAGCGGTTCGGGACGGAGTTTCCCGTCCTGCGTCTGCACTCTGACAGAGGTGGTGAGTTCTCCTCATACCTCTTGGCAGCCTTCTGTGCGGAGCACGGCATCACCCAGTCGTTCACGCTTCCGGCCTCTCCGCAGCAGAATGGGGTTGCTGAGCGCCGCATTGGCTTAGTCATGGAGGTCGCTCGTACCTCCATGATCCATGCGGCTGCCCCCCATTTTCTGTGGCCGTTTGCGGTCCGGTACGCTGCGCATCAGCTCAACCTTTGGCCCCGTGTCTCCTTGCCGGAGACCTCGCCCACGCTGCTGTGGACGGGGAAGGTTGGCGATGCGTCGCGTTTCCGGGTCTGGGGTGCTCGTGCCTTTGTCCGCGATACCACCGCGGACAAGCTCTCCGCCCATGCTGTTCCCTGTGTCTTCCTTGGCTTTGTCCCTGACGCGCCTGGTTGGCAGTTTTACCACCCCACCTCGCGCCGTGTCTTTGCGTCTCAGGACGTCACGTTCGATGAGTCGGTTCCCTTTTACCGTCTCTTCCCCTACCGCACTGCCCCTCTCCCTCCCCCGCCGCTCTTCCTCGCTCCAGGTGCTCCCCAGGTAGCACCCCTCCCCGCTCCCGGTCCTGCTCCTTCAGGTGTGTCTCAGGTAGACCCTCCTCCCTTCCCTGCGCCGGTCGAGGTCACTGGTGACTCAGGTCCTACTGGGGGTGGTCCTGCTCGGGGTGCTACTTCTGGGGGTGCTGAGCCTGGGGGTGCGGAGCTTGAGAGTGTGGAGCCTGGAGGTGCTGAGCCTGCGTGTGAGGGGTTTGGAGGTGCTGGAGCTGGTGGTTCTGGGGCTGCTGAGGGTGCGGGCGCTGGAGGTTCTGGAGCTGCTGGAGGTCCTGGTGCTGGTGGCACTGGAGCTGGTGGTTCTGGGGCTGCTGAGGGTGCGAGCGCTGGAGGTTCTGGAGCTGCTGGAGGTCCTGGTGCTGGTGGCGCTGGAGCTGCTGAGGGTGCTGGCGCTGAGGGTTCAGAGTCTGCTGTTGCACGGTCTCCTTGGAGTAGCCGCCTTCGTCCCCGTGTGCCTCTCACCTCGCAGCAGCTGCACGACTGGTACGGTCGCCGTCAGGGTCGCGCTGCTGGAGCCCAGGGCTCTGCTGCTGGAGGTACTTCTGCTGACGTCCCTGGAGCTAGGAGTGGTGCTGGTACTTTGTCTACTGGAGGTGCTGGAGTCCCTGGTCCCGGAGGTGATCGTACTGGAGGTACTGGAGCTGCTGGGGCTGGGGGTGCTGCGTCTGGAGGTGCTGCTGCTGGAGACACTGAGGCTGGAGACCCTGGGACTGGAGGTGCTGGTTCTGGGGGTGCTGCTGCTGGAGACATTGAGGTTGGAGACCCTGTGCCTGGAGGTGTCGGTTCTGGGGCTGGAGCTTCTGGAGCTGCTGGAGGTGCTGGAGCTGCTGGAGGTACTGGAGCTGCTGGAGCTGCCGGTACTGGTGCAGCTGCGCCGACACGACTGTTCTTCGCTCTGCCGTCTCCGTCGTCTCTGCCGCCGCCTGACTCTGTTCTTCGTCAGGTTCTTACTCTCCCGTCGTCTACTGGTCTTCCGTTACAGCCTGGCTCACCGCTGCCTGCTCCTTCTCCTTACACTGAGCAGACAGGTAGTCTTGCTGAGCGTCGTGAGCCTGCGTCGCGTCCTGTCTCGCCTGTTGGTCCTAGTCGTACCGGTCGTCATGTTCCTCGTCCGCGTCCGCCGGCTGTCCCCGGCACACGCCTTGTAGCCCTGCGTCGGTCCCCTACTCCGGAGCGTACTCCTCTTCCGTCTCCACCTGCGTCCTCTTTGCCTGACGTCGCGGACCCTGAGTCTGACCGGTTTCGTGCTGAGCACCCTACTGTCACGCGTCTGCTAGCCACTGTTGTCACTGACCCGTCGTTTGAGTCTGCTGCTGCGTCTGCCCTGGTCGCTGAGCTTGTTGACTTTGCTGCTGCCTCTCGTCTAGACTACGCTGCTAGTCTTGTTGCTGAGTCTGAGTCTATCTGTCCTCCGTCCGTCGGGGGTGAGTGTGCTCTTGGCACGGACGTTCTTGAGGACAGGCACGAGGACCTTGAGTGTCTTGCAGCCGCTGCGCCTCATCTCGTGGCCATGCTGCTTGCCCCTGAGGGAGACCCGGATGCTATAGACATCCCCACACCGCGCTCTTACGCTGAGGCGATCGCGGGTCCCTACTCCTCTCAGTGGCAGGCAGCCATGGACGCAGAGATGGCATCCTGGAAGTCCACAGGCACCTACGTCGATGAGGTTCCCCCTCCTAGGGCGAACGTCGTCGATGGCATGTGGATTTTCAGGGTGAAGCGGCCGCCAGGTTCTCCGCCTGTCTTTAAGGCGCGTTACGTTGCTCGCGACTTCAGTCAGCGAGAGGGAGTTGACTTCTTCCAGACCTTTTCCCCTACCCCGAAGATGACTACTCTTCGGGTGCTGCACGTTGTCGCTCAGCGTGACTACGAGCTTCACTCTCTTGACTTCAGCACAGCTTTCCTACAAGGCAGCCTGCACGAGGAGATCTGGCTGCGCCGCCCACCTGGCTTCACTGGGACGTTCCCTCCTGGTACCCAGTGGAGCCTCCGCTGGCCAGTCTACGGTCTCCGCCAGGCACCTCGTGAGTGGCACGACACATTGAGGACTACCCTTGCGGCTCTTGGGTTTGCGCCTTCGACTGCTGACCCTTCACTGTTTCTACGCACCGACACTTCGCGGCCGCCAATCTATATTCTCGTGTACGTCGACGGCTTGGTCTTTGCTACTGCTGACACTGAGGCCCTCGCCCTGGTGAAGTCCGAGCTGCAGAAGAGACACACGTGCACAGACCTGGGTGAGCTGCGCAGCTACCTTGGCTTGCAGATCACCCGGGACCGAGCACGCCGCACCATCACACTGACTCAGTCACACATGGTGCAGCAGGTCCTTCAGCGCTTCGGCTTCACCTGGTCCTCAGCACAGGCCACTCCTCTGGCTATAGGTCACTCGCTCTCAGCTCTGCCTTCGGATGAGTCCGTAGAGCCGAGTGGTCCTTACCCAGAGCTAGTGGGCTGCCTCATGTACATGATGACTTGCACTCGTCCTGACCTTGCGTACCCTCTTGGCCTTCTGGCTCGCTATGTGGCTCCTGGTCGGCACCGAAAGGTGCACTAGGATGCTGCGAAGAGGGTACTGCGCTACTTGTGCAGTACATCGGGCATGGGGCTTGTGCTTGGAGGACGGCGAGAGGTGGTCCTCACTGGGCACTCAGACGCTTCTTGGGTGGACGACCAGGCTACGCACCGGTCGTCACAGGGTTACACTTTCAGCCTTGGCTCTGGTTTTGTTTCTTGGCGTTCTACTCGCTCGTCTTCTGTTCTCAGCTCCAGTTGCGAGGCTGAGATCTACGCCACCGCCATGGCTGCTCAGGAGTTACGCTGGCTCACCTACCTGCTGACCGACCTGGGAGAGCGGCCTCGTTCTCCTCCAGTGCTGTACGTCGACAACAAGGCTGCCATTGCCTTGTGTGAGGAGCACAGACTGGAGCACAGAACGAAGCACATCGCTCTGCGGTACTTTCTGGCTCGAGAGCTGCAGCAGCGTGGTCAGCTTCGTCTTGCACACGTGGCCACTAGGGCCAACACTGCTGATATATTCACCAAGGCACTTCCGTCTGGTGATCATCAGTGCTTTTGTACTTTGTTAGGCCTTGTGCCTACGTTTCCACACTTGCTGTAGTCTTTTGTGTGTACTGTGCTCTATATTTATACCTGCATGCTTGCTCTTGTTAGGTATTGATCACTGTACTGCTCTTGTTGCTTATATATATCTCTGCATGTGGACTGGCCTTGCGGCCCTTTGCTTGTGCTCAGAATGTGTGGTGACGTTGAGATCCACCCTGAGCTTGCTTTGCGTCTCTTGACTGGTCGTGTGACCTCTTGTTCTCCCCCACTTTGCCTATGGGGGTGTGTCAAACATACATGCTGCATATTGTCTAGGCTGTAGTGGGGTAGCCCATATGGGGTACAACCCAATTAGGGTTTACTACTTGTACTCCTGCATGCTGTTAGTTCATCCATTCCTGCTGCCAGATTCTAACAAAAAGCTCGGAAAGCAAGAATCGAGAGCGGGTGTGCGGTGCGGAGAACACATAAGGGCGCGTGTCTTTTGGTGTAGAGGTTCGAAAATAAGGTCGACCTTACGCTGGTAACCCTATTCGTTAATTTCGTACAGTCAACTTCGCACGCATCGTGTGTCCTCCCCGGTCAATGGGTGTGAAGTTGGAAAACAAACTTGGGTCGACCTCACGTTCAAACTTTGAAGAGCACGTAAGGCCAACCATGTTTCCACACAAGCATGAACCTCGAGAATGTGAAATCCGCGACGCTCGCAAATCACATCTCGCGCACAAGCGACTCCAATCAGAGGATGTCAGGGTCGCTACATTCCACGTCGGACATTCACGTGGCACGAAAGGCGCGAACCGCCCCCACGACCAAACAGCATCGGCGGCTCTAGCTCAAAAGGCGCGAACTACCTTGACATTTCACACATCTTCCAATTTCGCACGAGCCGCAAGCTCATCCTGGCGGTATCAAATACTTGCGCCACAAAACATATTGTCAGTTTCCATTCTCCCATCTCGCCCATCACAACCATAGCAACCATGAATCCACCTACCGACACTAGTAGCAACGGTGATCCAGGCTCATCGTCAACGCCCACTGCCAATACTTCAGCAACCGCCACCGCTGCCACGGCCACCGTCCGCCGAGCTAGGCCCACTACCCAGCCATCAACGAACCGCCGTCTGGAGGTTATAGACCTTGACACCATCGTCCTCTGGGTTCCGGATCCAAACACCCCTCTCAACGCCGACGACGACACCCTCGCTTATTTCGACGCTGGAGAGGTTGACACAGACTTCGACGAGCACGTCGAAGAGGAAGGCGAACCAGCCATGATGGGAGAGAAGCGCGGTTGGGAAGACGCCGAGACGATGCAACTTGCTTGGGTTCGTCACGATAAGGACGAGGAGTACCGCAGTCAAAGCCGCCTACAGGGGCAAAACCGCGACGTCACGCTGTGGGAGGAGCTGAAGAAGCGCCATCCGCAATTCCGTCATAAGTTTCAGGCGGTAAAATCTAAGTTGTTTCGAATGGAGGCACACTACCGCAAAGTGCGCGCCCTTTTGCTGGAGCCCTCTGGCAAGGGTCGCCCGATCAAAATTCCTATTTATTATGAAGTTTATGATCGTGTTATGGGTGACCGTGCCAACGCGAGGCCCCCGGCTCTTGCAGGAAGTCTTCCAGGCGCTAACGTCGTGCGCACACCGCCTACTACCCCAGGCATAGCAGGTATGTTGCATGGGCGTATTAAGAGCAACAAAATTGCATTAAGCACGGCTGCACGAGTACAACGTACAATCCACACAGTTGCTCTAGCCTCGTTATCTCACCCCACCCCAATTTCATGTGATCGGCCTTTGCAGATCACGGTCTGACGACCGAGGGTGTGGGGTCTCGCACTCCGCCTCTGGCGACGGTGACGGCGCCATCCCCTTCTCGCACCACGCTGCCCACATCTCCGCCGGCGCCCCCCGCAACTTCCCCTGCGCGTCTGACGTCTACCAATCAGGCGGAGGCGTCTCCGCCGGTCTCACGGGGAGCCGGCGCGCGTGCGGGTCTGTCGCTGCGCGGGCACCGCGTCGTCCGCGGGCCTCGGCCTTCGGCTGCGGGAACGGACACACACGGCATAGCAGGATGGGGAACACAGTCACAGGAAGGTCAGCTAACCGGTGCAGACTCGGCGCTTTGCGACGAAATCGCCACGCGCATTGCCGGGACGATGGGCGGGCTATTTCGCGAAAATTTCGAGCAGTTCATGCAACTTACCCGAGAGCTGGTGCAGTCTGCTCCGGATGCCCCAGACGCCAAGAGCCAGACGCTGACGACGGCGGATCAGCGTAAAGCCCTCGGAGCTTGGCAGGTAGTGCGGCGCGTCTGCTGCCGGGCCCTGCTCCCACCACCGGTTCCGTTCGCGAGGCATCTCTTCCATCCTCGGGCGCGCTCCGATAATCAGGTCGATGTTGTGCAGGGTCACGCAGGCCACCATGTAGCGCGGCGCATGGAAGATGTCGCATTCGAGGCGACCGTCGAGAAGCCTCCACTTGGTCTTCAGGCGGCCGTTAACCTGTTCAACGACCATCCGTGCACGCGATTGTTGCAGGTTCCACACGCGCTGCTCGTCAGGCAGGTGGCGGCCGGTAGTAGCACGGTAGGGTGTGTAGAGATATTGGCGCAGGCCGTACGCCGCGTCGTAAACAAGGACGTAGTCCAGTAGGCCCCCCTGTTCAATCTTAGTTCTAGCTGGGCTGTTCTGGAACACGCGGGCGTCATTGACGCTCCCAGGCCAGCCTACAAAAAAGTCCCAAATGAGACCACTGCTGTCACAGATTAGTTGCAAAATTATAGAGTAAAACCCCTTCCTGTTACGAAAGTCATCACGGTGGGGCCCAAACCCACGACAGCGTATGTACGTGCCGTCCATGGCACCCACCACGCCAGGGATGCCAGCGAAGGCTCGAAATTCCCTCTCCATCACCTCAAACATTTCACGGTCAGGCCACCACACCCACCGTGGGGTCAAAACCGTCTCCATGAACTTCAAAAACCGACTGAACAGTTTCTGGGTGTATGAGTAGCTGTACCCGAAATGAAGACCGACTTGGCGAAATGTCAGACCGTGCCCCAGCTTGCTAAGTGCTATCGCGATGTGCACAAAATTGTACACTTTGTTCTGCCACGTTGCAAATCGGCTGCGCTGGTATTGCCTCACCACGTACGTGAAAGTGCGCTTATCAACGCGCATGTACTCGTAAAAACTCCCGTTCGGCATGATGCTGATGAGACGAAACCAACGCATGCGAGAGTCAAGGCGGTCGCCACGGACAAACACACGTGTCTGGCGGAGAGAAAACGCAGCGACGAGTGTTGGCAGTGCAGTCCCTATGGCAGCCGAAACTGGCAGCAGGAACAGGCGCAGGTATCCCTGCCACACGAGCGCGAGAAAGCGGAGAAGCTGGGCGTTCGTCATGTTGGTGAGAAAGTGTTGAACTGAACATTGGCCACGAGGGCTATTTGTAGCCCTCGTGGCAGCGTGTCGCACAAATCATACGTGTCGCGCTGTCAAGGCGTGAGAACCGGGTAACCTACGTTGGTTGAGCGCGGCTCGAATGTGAGTGTAGAAAGTCGACCCTCGATTGTCGAAGTTTTGTGTGCCATGTGATGTTTGTGAAAGTTGGAAACGCGGCACGAGCCCAAAAGTTGAGATACTCGAGTACAGGTCGACCTAGGTTCAAACCTAAAAAGTCGACTTAAAATCGTGAAATTTTGGCCAAAATCCAAAAGACACGCGCCCGAAGCTTGGAATGCCTCAGTCTGGAGTTCTGTTGGCAAGACTGCTACACCACAGCTGGGGCAGTGTGGCCGAGAACGGTAAGGCCGTGGTACATATGGCCAGATTATCAAGCTCCATGCTCGAGCCCGTCCAAATTTTAAGGGTAACCCGAGTTTCTGTGATGGGCTGAAAATTTATTAGTGTGAAAAAGCCAGTCAATTATTCCAGATCATTTCCGGGATACTCGTTCCGCGCTAATTCCCCACCAACACAGTTATGTTTGAAGGAGGCTCAAGACAGACTCAATTGCTTTCGCGAGGCATGTACCACGTCCTGATGGTCTGGCATATACACAATATCCAACACCCCAACATGACCACGTTACACCGCAACATTTTTCCTTCGGCCAATTTCACTCCCCCTTCGTGCCTTCCAGACAGGATGACGTGTAAATTGAAAAGCGCGTCACTTACGTGGCCCAGCAGATGAGCCAGTTCGCTTGAAGCGCTTGTCTAGCAATATAACACCTTTTGCCAAGTCACAATACATACCCCTTCTGGAACTTACCGTTCCCCCGATGAATGGAGTCATGTTCACTGTTGCGCAACAGTGCCCGATGACTTGGCACAGCTTGACCCCAGCTTTGCGGGTCAATATGTGCCCAGACACGTCAGGCTGTGACCTCAACTCTTGAGCACCCCAACCCGTCAAACCCACTTCACGACAAGGGGGGGGGGGGGAAATGGCTCTAGTGAATTTGGCGCAGGCTAGGTGTACCGCGTCGAGAAGTTTTGAAAACCTTTACATTATAAGTACCGTCATACCCCGGATATAAGCGCCACCCTCGGATAAGCGCCTGGCACTTTTAATTGGCGCATGGCGCTTATATCCGCTGCTCGATTATAAGCGCACCCCCTGAAAAAACTTGTTTTATTATAAACGCATGTAAACTTTAATTTTTGAAATTTGTTCAAAACGCTGTAACGAAATTTAATTAAGCATGCGGATCTGTTGCAGATTCGGTTCCCTTCACATTCGGACCCTGCACTGGATGCGGGTCCAGTCAGCAGGAGCTGTAAGGAGCTGTCACGAGCTGTCAGGAGCTGTCAGATTGGGTGTATCTCCCAGCGCGCGCGAGAATTTCGAGACGACCTCATGTAACTTCGACTCGATTGAAAAGACAAGCACGAGATCTACAGAATGGTGTTTAAATATGTATAAAATATATATGTCGTTTTATAAACGCCGGCGCTTATAATTCTGCTCGATTATAAGCCCACCCCCTAAAAAAAACATGTTTTATTAGTGCTCCCCATGGGGGTATATCCGGGGTATGACGGTATTGTAACTCTGAAGCTTGTACTCGTTAGTAGGCAGGAATGGCAACCTGGCAACAGCTCACGAAAGTGTAAACACTAATGGCTAACACGACGTGCTAGCTTCATTCCAATAATGTTTCGGTAAATTTCTTGGCTTTCATGACCATTATTTTTGGGTTCTTGTACTAACGAAAGAATGTGTGTCGTGTAACCACATCCATGTTTACTGGGTGGTAATTTGATCCCACACAGTAAATTCTGTCAGAGGTCCACTGGAGATCCCCGATGATACTAGGGAAGGGTTACAGGCATGTTGGCCTGGGGGGTTATGGGCGCACTCACCCGCTACATAAACAAGTTCTTTTATCCCAGTGGTTAGTGACTGGGATTCTGACATGGTATCAGAGCGAAGGTCTCGGGTTCGAATCCCGGTGTGTGCACCTCTGGCATCCCAGTGCGGGGGGGTGTCAGAGGTCCACTGGAGATCCCCGATGATCCTATGGAAGGGTTACAGGCATGTTGGCCTGGGGGGTTATGGGCGCACTCACTCGCTACACAAACAAGCCATTTTATCCCAGTGGTTAGTGACTGGGATTCTGACAAATTCATTCAAAAGTGCAACTTCGCATTGGGAGGGATATCGAACGAGTCAAGCTGTTGCTGCTACAGGAGTCAGGATCCCAAACCATTCGGACCAACTTCTCCCGCCAACCTTTCTCACACCTCCCGCCCCCCACGGCTGCACCAAGTCTTTCCTCGGGTCATTCACAGTAAAATTCCACCTCTCTGGGCTAACCCCGTCTTGCTTCCTCTTCCTCATCCCCCGCCAAATCACCTCCTTCTGCTCCTCACTCATCCAGCACCAGGGCTTCAGCCGCTCCTCCAAACCGTCGTGCACGGACCACCACCGCTTAAAAGCGGCTTCGTTAACAAACTTGAGGTCGTAGAGCGACGCGCACAGGTTACAATCGAAATCGCGAAAGCACATCCAGGGCTTTCTCCCGAGGTAGTGAATGGCGTGCAGCTGGGGAGGTTCAGAGGAGAAGAGAGCGTTTTGGATGGCCACTGCCTCGTCGTAGGAACTGTTAGGGTTGTTGCCTGTGTGACCGGTGGTGTGCGGTGGCTTGTGCTTGAGAATGGTTGTGTGGTCTGGGAGGCGGTGCCACCAGGGAAAGGCGTTGTTGGTGTAGCCCTGGGAGGGGGGAGGGGGAAGGGGTGGAGAGGGGTGGAGAGGGATTTAGTTGGATGGAGGGGAGTGGATTGTGCTTGAGAACGTTGGTGCGGGCTAAAGAGGCAGTGTGCCATAATGGGAAGACTTGGTGTAGCCCTGAGAAGGGACAGGGATGGAGACGGGTGGAGAGGGATGGAGATGGGGTGGGGAGGGGTGGAGAGGGGTTGATTTGGATGGAGGGGGATGGAGGGACCAATTAGGTGGCGAGGAGAAAGGCAAACGTGCAGTGTGCCGGCTCGAGAACCAGCAGGCCTGAGTTGAAGTGGGCGTGAGCTGATACCACCACAGTCAGCAACTGTGCACACCTGGTCCCCGTGGTTGTAGGACAGAATGTTGGGGATGTTGGCGAGGAGAAAGGCAAACGTGCAGTGTGCCGGCTCGAGAACCAGCAGGCCTGAGTTGAAATGGTTGTCATCGTTGGCAGCAGCAGAAAGCTCGGGGTAGAGGAACAGGTGTGTGAGCGGTCGCAGGGGAAGCACGTCTGTGTCGAGATAGACTATTCGCTCGTATTCGGTCAACTGCCACAGACGCAGCTTGCTGCAGTGGGAAGGGAGGGAAGGGGAGGAGGGAAATGTGTTGGTACTGTGTCAGCTGCCACAGGCACATATTATTTTTTACTCAGTCAACTGCTACAGACGCAGCTTGCTGCAATGGGAAGGGAGGGAGGGGGAAGAGGGAAGGTGGGGAGGGGGAGCGGAAGAGGAAGAGGTGTATGAGCGGGCGCAGGGGAAGCACGTCCGTGTCGAGATAGATTATTCGCTCGTATTCGGTCAGCTGTCTGTCACAGAGATGCAGCTTGCTGCAATGGGAAGGGAGGAGGGAGGGGAAAGAGGGAAATGTGTTGGTACTGTGACAGCTGCCACAGGCACAGCTTGTAGCCTGTAGCCACCAAATCACCCACCCACCCCTTCACACACCCGAACCTTTCCCTCTCCCCCCTTCCCTCCTCCTCCCCTCTCACCTGAAGTTCCACTCGTTGTGGCTCCCTGGCCTCGACCACGGGCTCTTGATCCTCTCTATTTCCACCACTCGCCATCCCGCCGCTTCCAGCCCTCTCCTGCTCTCCGCCCCCACCTCTGCTGACACAAGAACCACCAGCTCTGCCTCTGCTGCACGCTGCTGCTGCTGCTGCTGCTGCTGCTGCTGCTGCTGCTGCTGCTGCTGCTGCTGCTGCTGCTGCTGCTGCTGCTGCTGCTCCGCTCTGCCCGCGCCCGCCTTCTCGCCAACACCACCTGAAATGGCGCTGCTGCTGTCGGTGCCGCTGCTGCCGGCGCTATCGGTGCTGTTGGTGCCACTGTGGGTGGTGCCGGGGAAAAGAGCGGCGGGAAGCGTGAGGCCGTGGGAGCGGAGGGCGTGTGCAAGGACGATAGCGCCACACACGTACTCCTCCTTGCTGTGTAGCACCGTGGCGAAGGCAAACCGGGGTGGTGGGGCGGAGGGGAGACGCGCTGCAGGGGAGGAGGAGCAGGGGGGCGGGGAGGAGGGGAAGAGCAGGGAGGGAGGGCGTGTGCAAGGACGATAGCGCCACACACGTACTCCTCCTTGCTGTGTAGCACCGTGGCAAAGGCGAAACGAGGTGGCGGGGACGAGGGGGAACGCGCTGCAGGGCGAAGAGAAAGAGAAAGGAGAGGAGAGGGGGGCGGGGCGGAGGGGAAAAGAAGGGAGGGCGTGTGCAAGGACGATAGCGCCACACACGTACTCCTCCTTGCTGTGTAGCACCGTGGCAAAGGCGAAACGGGGAAGCGCAGCGGAGGGGGGACGGGCTGCAAGGGGTGAGTGGAGGGGAAGGGGCGGAGGGGAAGAGCAGAGGGGAAGAGGGCAGGGAGAAGGGGCCAGATCATTTGAAGGAGGCCAGAGAAAGGGAGGAGGGCGGGGAGAAAGGGGGAGAAGGGGCGAGAAGGCGGGAGGGCGGAGGAGAGGACGATAGCGCCACACACGTACTCCTCCTTGCTGTGTAGCACCGTGGCAAACGCGAAACGGGGTGGTGGGGCGGAGCGGAGGGGGAATGCGCTGCAGGGGAGGCAGGGAGGCAGGGCGCCTCCCTGCCTCCCTAATGAGAATTTGCAAAGCGACCCTTGAGGCGCCTCAAAAGTCAGAAGTCGTCTTTTGAGGCGCCTCAAAACTGGATGTGTGCACTGCGTGCACTGCACACGAATGAGAAGTTCTGAAGCGACCTTCGCTTACCGGAGGCATCAGCAGTGGGCTGCGCCAGCGCGCATGACCCCGCGGGCTGGATGCCAGCGCGCACATCGCGTGCCGTCACGTTGTATACCCACACGTCTCCCGTCATCGCCGTCGTTCCATCACCGCCACCGCCGCTGGCAGCAGTGTGCGCAGCAGCAGCAGCTGCCGTCGCAGCAGGAGCCCCAGAAGCAGCAGGAGCATGCGGCGTGGAGGGCTGTGCGCGCACGAGGAAGCGGCAGTGGAAGAGGTTGAGCGGCGGGCGGCAGGGGGAGACGATCACAAGGGGCAGCCAGGGACGGTGGGACTGGCGGAAGGGTGGGGAGGATGGGGGGGAAAAGTGGGGAGGATGGGGGGGAAAGGTGGGGAAGGTGCAAAAAGGTGGGGGAATCTTTTGAGCCGACTCAAGAATTGGCAGTGGAAGGGAGGATGGGGGGGAAAAGTGGGGAGGATGGGGGGGAAAAGTGGGGAGGATGGGGGGGAAAGGTGGGGAAGGTGCAAAAAGGTGGGGGAATCTTTTGAGCCGACTCAAGAATTGGCAGTGGAAGAGGTTGAGCGGCGGGCGGCAGGGGGAGACGATCACAAGGGGCAGCCAGGGACGGCGGGACTGGCGGGGGGGAAAGGGGACAAGGGGGGGGGGGGGGGAGGGGGAGGGGGGGGGGGGGAAAGGAGGAGGCAGAGAGAGCGAGGCAGAGTCTGAGGGTGAGGCTACGCAGAGAAGCACATTGTGAAGGGAGTACCAGTAAGGGGGAGACACTTTTGAGAATTCTCAAATGTGAGGGTACGCAGAGAAGCACACTGTGAAGGCAGTACCAGTAAGGGGGAGACTAAGTGATATTGGCATGGCATTGCATGGCACACACCTGGCACACACCTGGCACACACCTGGCACACACCTGGTACACACCTGGCACACACCTGGTACACACCTGGTACACACCGGGTACACACCTGGTACACACCTGGCACACACCTGGTACACACCTGGTACACACCTGGTACACACCTGGGACACACCTGGGACACACCTGGGACACACCTGGCACACACCTGGCACACACCTGGCACACACCTGGCACACACCTGGAACACACCTGGCACACACCTGGTACACACCTGGGACACACCGGGACACACCTGGGACACACCTGGCACACACCTGGCACACACCTGGCACACACCTGGCACACACCTGGCACACACCTGGTACACACCTGGAACACACCTGGCACACACCTGGCACACACCTGGCACACACCTGGCACACACCTGGCACACACCTGGCAAACACCTGGCAAACACCTGGTACACACCTGGCACACACCTGGTACACACCTGGTACACACCTGGCACACACCTGGCACACACCTGGCTGGCACGCACGCCATCATGACGAGCTGAGCACACACCTTACTGACGAATCGTGCGAGCGACAGCATCAGCTGCTGCCATCGCACGTCCCTCGCCAACGAGCCGCTCGCCGGGCGGCACGGCACCACCGCAACCACCGCATCCACCTCGTCTGCCACGTCAGCCACGTCTGCCACGTCATCAGTGCCCCCGTTAGCTTCCTCCCACGCCGCACGCGGGACAGCAGGGCAGGTGAGGATGGAGCCGCGACGATCATAGGGATTAATATCCGGGTAGAAATCGTCCCAAGTTAGGTTGCCTGCGGGTTCTGCCGGCGCAGAAACCGGCAGGATTTGGAACGGGGGCGCTGTCAGCATCTTGCCATCTTGGTTAAGTTGAACTTGATCCACCCACATCGCCAGGTGAACTGCATCTGCAGCAGCAGGACCCGCGTTAAACGCAGCCACACGGGTTAGTATCCGCGACCTCCCTGCAAAACCCTGTTGCTGCTTTGGCGGCCGCCGCTCCTGCTCGTGCGCCTGCCGCCGGCGGCGCGGTTGCCACTGCGACTCGTCCCCATCGCCATCAACGTCGCGCAGCGCCGCAGCCGCCGCCGCCTCTTCCCACGTCGCCAGCGCGCGGAGGCCGCGCAAGAACGCGGCGGCGGCTAGATCGGCAGCGACGGCATCCACAGATCTGCGGGATAGCGAAGGCGCCGCCATCGCCGCGGCGGCGTTGAGAGGATCGTGGAAGCGGCGGCGGGAGAGGCGAGCTCCGCGGAGGAGCGCCAGCGAGAACAGAAGGAGCGCGAGGGCAGTGCAGAGCGCGGAACGGATGCGGGGGAGTCCGAGTCCGTAGTAGGCGCGGCGGAATGATGATGCGGCGAGTCGCCGCGGAAGTGCGGCCGGCGTCAGGAACGTCATTGACTAAGTAAGCCTTTTAGTAGCACTAGAGATGCGGAAAGGCCTACAACAAGTTGGGTTTCACGGAGATACCCGAGAAGGCTTGCAAGTGACTGAAAATGACTGAAAAGTGAGCTGAGGAGAAGGGGGGGGGGAGGTTCTCGCGTTGGGGGAGCTTGCGCGGAGAGGGGGAGGGAGGATCTCGCGTTGGGGGAGCTTGCGCGGAGAGGGGGAGGGAGGTTCCCGTGTTGGGGGAGCTTGCGAGGAGCGGGGGAGGGAGGATTTCGCGCGGAGGAACAACTTGGGAAGGAGCAACGCCACTGGCAAACGTCGGCTTGGATGTTTTTGAGACGTCTCAAAAACACCCTCTCTACTACACGCGGAGGAACAATTTGCGAAGGAGCAACGCCACTGGCAAGCGCCGGCTTGGATGTTGCTGTTCCCTTGGCGGCGGCAACTGTTGTGCCCACCGCCGGGCCACCGCGTTGATGTTTCTTCGCTGCGCCAGGATTGGGCGAGCATGTCAAGAGGGGAGGTGCCTGCCGGACAGGTCTGGAGATTGTTGGAAACACGTCTACGTATAGTAATACCGTACCTGCCCGATTCGGGCGGCGATATCTGGGGGAGATTAGTGGGGGATTGGGGATGAGGAAGGTGTACTGTAGTACTGTACACGTGTGTCTGTGTCTGGGTACACGTAAGCGCGGCATGAATGGTCCAAGATTGGCGTCGCAAACTCGCTTCCCAAACGGTCTTAATTCTAAACAACCCACTCAAACGCTAACGATCTCAACTCACCGCATTGTAAGGGCCTCTGAAACGCATTGCCACCACCTCACCGAAAAACACTTCAAAATGCCACAGTGGCGAGCCACTCGGAAACCACGCAGTCAGGGTGTTGTTTCCACTCACCCGCAACGTGCTGCGGCAATCCCGTAAACATAGGAGGATGTCCGGGCCGGACCATCGTTCTTAAGCCAGAAACAGAAGCTACGAAATGGTTGGACGACATTCGTAAAACGTCGCCAAACAAACATCATGTTACGTCATGCCACATGTGCATCACCCAGGTGCGTCTAACAGTTTGTGGCTGTGCGAAAATGTCCACCCGTACATTGCCCTTGCTCGGTACATGCCCTCTGAGAGCCTCACAGTCTGCAAACGGCACACGTCACGGTTCGTGGCTGTGGTTACCTTGTCCCCTAAGGGCGCGTGTGATCCAAGGATTTTTGTCAAAGTTCGAACTCAAACCGCTTTGCATCGTGGAGAGACATCGCTCAATTGTATCCTACCGTGTAGAACCTTTCTAAAAGTTCGAACTTTGGGAAGTTCGAACTTTGATCACACGCGCCCTAACCTCTACAAACGCCGGCAGATGCATGTGCATCTGGTGCGCGCATCTTGTGCGAAACCTCGCACACCCCTGAAACACATTGAGGCACAACGCCACCTCACAGCCCGAACATAAATCAACTCGACAAACCACAGACAGATCAATTTAACTAAGACTCATCCGTGGCGCAAAATGCGTCGCCTTTACCATAGGTCTCAGACGGGCTATTTGTGCCCATCATGTGGCGAACCCCCTGCTGCGCCAAGTAGACCTCGCGCGTTGGTGTTTCACGCGTTTTGGTGTCAGGCCCGACCGTTCGACCATTGGTCGTGTCTTGAAAGGCGCCGACCGATGGCGGATTCCTGACGACACCGTCGACGCTATTCGGGTCCGAGGCGGGGCATTCCCCGATCTGGAGCGCGCGATGGCACGCTGGATTGCCAACGCAGGCCCTGCCGGCGTCCCGCTCACCCTCGCGACGATCCGCGACCATGTCGCGACGATGGCGCAAGCGAACGGCGCGCCTCCGACATTCCGTTGCAGCATCGGCTGGGTGCGCCGTGCGCTGCGCCGCCAGGGTGTGCGCTGCATGAGTGCCGTCGGCGAGGTGGCCGACCAGGATATGAACGCCGTACGCACGACAAAGGAGAAGCTTCCGCAGCTTCTCATGCATCTCGGCGTGCGACCGCGTGACACTTACAATTTTGACGAGACGGCGCTTTACATCAGCGTGCTTCCTCGCAAGACGTACGGCATGGGCAGGGCTGCCGGGCGGAAGCTCCCGAAGGAACGCCTCACCGTCGGCTTCTTGGTTAACGCGGAGGGGACACACGCCTTCCGTCCGCTCGTCATCTCCAAGGCCAAGCGGCCCCATGATTTCAGGCCGGATTTCGACCCCGAGGAATATTGCTACTGGCGCAACACTGCTAAGGGGTGGATGACTAAGGCGGTAAGTTCATTTTAACGCACACAAGTTGTACACCGCTATAAAACATTATCCCCCCACGGTGTTTGAAGCCATCTCTAATCTCCCCCCCCCCCCCCCCCAACCCCCCTGACTTTCCCCGTACCCCGTGCGGTGCAGCTATTCACGCACTTCTTTAAGCAGTTTGACACCGCCATGTACGCTGAGGGCCGCCAGGTTGTCGTGCTGCTCGACAACGCAAGCAGCCACACCCTGATCACCGAGGGCGCGGAAACCGAAGACCTTTTCGGATTCCGCACGAAGAAGCTCAACAACGTGCGCTTGGTCTACCTGCCGCCAAACACCACGTGCTTCACGCAACCCCTCGACCAAGGGATGATCGCCATGGCGAAGGCGCGGTACCGCCAGCACTGGCTCCGCGCCTTCTCCGGCATGTGGACCGCAGATGGCGCGACCGCGGCGGCGACGAGGTACAAGCCGAACCTCCGTCGTGTGCTGGAGTGGTTGCATGACGCGTGGATAAACATCCCGCGTCGCACTATCCAGCGCTGCTGGTGGCGCACCGAATGCCTCCCGCGGGCATGGGCGATGGAGCTGCAGGACGTGGAGCTCCCCGCTGACCCACAGCTCCCGGCTGGCGGCGACATCGGCCTGGACGAGGATGTGAACGACGTCGGTATTTTGATCGACCGCCTCGGCCTCGGGCCGTCGGCGATGGCCGCAGCAGACTTTGTCGGCATAGATGACAACCAGCCGGTGTGCGCCGAGCTGGGCGTGGACCCCTTGGCGCTGGAGCCGGCATCGGCGGACACGGCGCACGTGTGGGAGGCGCCTGCGTCGATGCAGGCGGTGTACGACGACAACAACTCTGCGACGCGCGAAGCACGTCGCACGGCTCGCGCCGCGTGCGAGATGCTCATCGGGTACGCCCGTGCGACGTGCATCACGCCGAGGGATTTGTGCGCGCTGTTTGACATCCGCAACCCCCTGATCATCGCGCGGATGGAGCGCGCGAGCCCCGCGCTCAACCTGAACGCCGCTCCGGCGCCCGTCATGACGCACGAGGACACCCCGCCAGCAGAGACTCCACGTCGCCGTGGTCGCGTTCTGCCGGCGTGGATGACGGTGCCGACCCCTGACTGGATTGCCCAGTCTGCTCGCCGGCAGGAGCTCATTGACGCTGGGGCGCCCGCCGTGACGGGCGGCTATGTCGCGGCGGCTGAGTGGATGAGGCTGTGAAATCCACAACGACGGGGAACACATTTCCGCATTTGCACAAATGTGCGCGACTCATGCACACCTGTGGTGAACGGTGATTGCATTAACGGGACGGGTACGGGTGGGGGGGTATGGGGGTGGTGGGTTTGTTGGGGTGTTGGAACAGGTGTGGCTGATTTATTGGTTGTTTCTTGTTTGTGACCATTAGGGCGTTTGATTGTAATTGCAAGGCATTGCAATGAAACGTTAGGGGGGTAACCATGTGCATTAGCTCGCAACAAAGCACGCCGCCCGCCACTGTATCGGGAAAAAACAAAGGTGTTACCGTCTGTGCCTTTTAAGAACCCCCCAATGCGGTTGCGAAACGCACGAACTCAGCGAAAAGTTGAAATCGGATATAAGCCCAGAGCACAAGGGCCACCCGGGGAACTATAACGCGCATCAGGTGTAGCTCCATCCGCCAGCTGCTGCACGACAGGTACGTTTAGGGCGTGGAACATTTGAAAAAAAATGCCAAACGAACTGTATGGTCATAACGGTTCAAAATGGTCTATTTGGTACAGGCTATGCTGAGATAGGGTATAGTAAGTTTCAGAGCGGTAATTTTCCGGACTGTACCGTTAGATTGTAAAAATTTCCAGATGTTCCACGCCCTTATGCTGTTCTAGGAAGCAGGCACTCGCGTCGATTTCGGCGATCGATCGTGCTATAACGAACCGCCACCGCACTGGAAACCTGCAATTTAACTAAAACTTTCCCAACCTACCCGTAAAAAAAACGACCCTGCGTGATCGATCACTCAAATGTGGTGGGTGTGTCGGCCTACAATACAAAGGTCGTTGATATAAACAAAATACGGTACTGTACCCATTACTCCACAAAGAAAGGACCACATTATCACATCTAGGCTTGGAATGTGATCTTAGGTTGGGATCATCTTTAGTGCATTCATTTCAGGTAATATGGATCATAAGTGAAATGCTGAAGCATTGCTGGAAGAGGGAATGTTATACTTAGATTACGCCTTCAGCATCGAGAAGTTGTGAAAGCTTTACACCATCTGTTTTGAAATATAGAGGCTTGTACCCGTTAGTAAGCAGCCATGACAACTTGGTACCCGGTCGTGCATGTGTAATCACAAATAGTTTACAAGTTCTGTTACCATATTGGATTTCTGGACCTACCATTTTCGGGTCCTTAAACAACCCAAAACACGTGTATTGCATAACAACATTCATGTTGTCCGGGGGTTATTTAGAAGGACGATAAGCCCATCCATGAGAGTGTAGAAAATGTTCAGCAGCGTCCCTTGCTCCCCGGTTAGGAATGAGGTGCTGAGATAAGAGAGGCCTCCTAGTTACTGGGTCAAACAAGTTGCCCTGTAAAAACAAAAAAACAAACAAACAAACAAACAAGAAAAAAGAACTAGGAACAACAAGAGTCTGACCCGGATCAATGTGCCCTCTCAAGCATGACCCCGATCGACACGAATCCGCTCACACTTCAACGCACGAATCCTCTCGTACGTGACTCCATTTGGTGTTATCGCAGGGTTAATAGAATGCCACTCATATTTCAGCAGTCTTACTGCTTTGAGATGCTATTATACCGCTGATCTCTCGTACGTTACTGCACTCAGTGTTATCACGGGATCAGTAGAGAGCCAATCATATTTCAACGAACTCCTATCTCTTTAAGATGCTCTTACCGCTTTCAGATGCTCCTCAATTGCGGATCTCTCATACGTCACTCCACTTGGTGTTATCACGGGATCGCGGAGAATGTCGAGCATGATGCGACACGACAGGTGCTCTGGCAGCTGGAGCGAGTGGGAGGGCGGTAAGGGGGGACAGAATGGTTAAGTAAAAACAGTCATGTAAGAGGCTTCAATCAGGAAGCACAGGGATCGCGGAGAATGTCGAGCATGATGCGACACGACAGGTGCTCTGGCAGGTGGTGGGAGTGAGGGGGGAGAGGGGAAAAGGGGAGGAGGTAAACAAGGGCAAAAGTCAACTCAAAAGTCAACTCAAGAGTTGACTCAAAAGTCAGAGGGGAAAAGGGGAGGGGGTAAACAAAGGCAGGTAAGTCGCTTGAAGATGGGGTTATCACGGGATCGTGGAGAATGTCTAGCATGCTGTGACACGAGAGGTGGGAGGAAAAGGGGGGAGAGGGGAAAGTCAACACAGTTGGGTAAGAGGCTTGAGTCAGGAAGCACAGGGGGGTCGCGGAGAACGTCGAGCATGCTGCGACACGACGTTGCTCAATGCCTCTGCTTTCTCAAGGTACGATCGGAGAAACAGAGAGGCGGAGTGAGCAACAGAGCAGTAGAGAAAAGCACAAGCACCATACCTCGCCAGGGATGTCCTCTGCCTGTGCCAGTCGGAACACATTGCTCAGCGCCTCTGCTTTTTTCACAGTTGGATTGGAGCAGCAGAGAGGCAGAGAGAAGCAGAGAGAGTAGGGAAAGAAACAAGCACCACAGGGTCCATACCTCGCCTGGGGTATCCTCTGCCTGTGCTAGAGTGAACACGTTGCTCAGCGCCTCTGCTTTCTCAACGTACGACTGGAGCAGCAGAGAGGCCGCCTCCTCCACTGCTGTAGCATCCTCTGCTGCATCCCCAGCTGCAGGACCTGCTGATGTGGCATTGTCTGCTGACCTGGCATCCTTGCAGGCCTCTCTGGCCTGACTTTCGTTATAGTCACACCGTCCCTGAGTCAACCCAGAACCAGAGACAGCTGCTGCGCTGCATTGGGTACAGTCACCCTCAATAGAATCACCTTGACTACAATCACGCCTGCCTTCTTGAATACACCTGGTTTCTGTACAAGCCTCTTCAATACAGTCACTGCTGCAACGCCGGTCCACTCCATCCTCGTTATAGTCACTCCTCTCTGCAGGACGTAGCTGTGCTGCTGCTGCTAATGCTGCCCCTTGATCTTCTGCTGCTATGCCTGCTGAACTATTCGCTTGTGAACCATTCATAAATGAGCCATTTGCTGCCTCGATTTCACATCTGCCCGTCCCTGCACCACCAAGCATTGCAATGGCCGGGACTGTTACTGCTGTTGCTTCTCCTTCTTCTCTTAGCGCCAATGCTGCTGATTCCCCTGGTTCGGCTGCTGTAGCTGCAGCAGTACCAGCAGCGGGCGCAGGAGGAAGAGCAGCATTCACTTCCCTTGGTTCAACTGCCGCCGCTGGCGCTGTTGCTTCTGTTTCTACTCTTGCTGGAACAGCTGATGCTGACGCTGATGCTGAGGCTGATGCCCCCACCGCCGCCGCTGCTGCTGCTGCTGCTGCTGCAGAGGAGGCACTAGTGGTGTTCGGCGCTCGGGGCACAGAGGGGCAGCAACAGCTGCCTGGGAACCCGTGGGAGGAGAAGCACCCGCCTCTTGGCATTTGAGGGGATAGCGGCCCCTGCTCTGCCCCTCCTGCACCTGCTGACGTGCCAGCTTCTCTTGTTGCTGATGTGGCATTTCTTAACGTATGTGACTGTAACGAAGGTGACCGTGGAGGAGTGGAGGAGGAGGAGGAAGAGGAGGATGGGTCCTCCCTCAGTAGTGCCTCTAGGGTTTGAAGCGCGTCCTGCTGGATCGGCAGAGCTTTAGAACCTGGGGGGAGGGAGGGCGACAGGGAGAGAGGGTGAAATGAAAGCCTATTATTGAGGCGCCTTAAAAAGGAAGAGGAGGAGGAGGGCTCCTCCCTCAGTACCTGGGAATGAGAGTGAGGGAGAAAAAGAGCGAGAGAAGGAGCGAGGGACAGGGAGAATGTTGGGGAACAAGAGAGAATATTGAGGGGGGAAGAGAAAAGAATCGAAGAAAAACAAGAAAAATCTCAACTCATCACCACCACCAACTGACATAATAACCATCAACAGCACAGCACCACCATGGTCATCACATCACCTCCCATGACTTCTCACCATCTCTCATCACCTGGGATCGCAGCCAAGTCTGCCTGGAATTGCTCCTTCAGCAGGTCCCCTAGGAAAGCCCTGAGGTGCCCCAAAGCTGAATCACTCACATAACCATCACCTTTCATCACTGCTCCGCTCATTACCGCTCATCACCGCTCATCACCTGTGATCGCAGCCAAGTCTGCCTGCAATTGCTCCTTCAGCAGGTCCCCTAGGAAAGCCCTGAAGACACGCACAAGTGTTGTGAGGAATGGACGCAGGGAGAAAGAAATAATTTCTGACACAAGTGGTTTTGGTTAGATAATTTCTGACACAAGTGGTTTTGGTTAGATAATTTCTGACACAAGGGGTTTTGGTTAGATAATTTCTGACACAAGTGGTTTTGGTTAGATAATTTCTGACACAAGAGGTTTTGGTTAGATAATTTCTGAGGCGCTCACAATCAATTGCTGTTTCAGCAACCCTTCCCTTTGCAAACACCTAACAGAAGCACAAGCATGCGAGTATGAGTCAGCGTCTGTGTTTGCCTCCTCATAAAAACAGCGCTCCGCACTCACCTCCTACTGCTGCTGCTTCCCCTTTCACATCGGCACCCGGCTGGTACCATGTGTGTTGCATTGCATGTATGACGTGTGCATGTGTAAGGCCAAGTGCATATTCACGTTTGCTTAATCAACACCTGTGCTCCCGAATCAACTCAGCTGCTGCTGCTTCCTCTTTCGCATCGACCATTCCACCTCCCACTGTTTGTGTGTGCATGAATACACTTCTTCTGAGGCGCCTCAAAAATAGACTGATGTTTGCACCTTCTTCTATCCACAACCAACGCTCCCCACTCACCTCTGCTGCTGCTTCTTCTTTCTTATTGATGATTCCACCTCCCACTGCCGGTACATTGCGTGTGTGGATATGCATGTGCGTGTGTGTGTGTGTGTGTGTGTGTGTGTGTGTGTGTGTGTGTGTGTGTGTGTGTGAGTGTGTGTGTGTGTCTGTGTGTGTGTGTGTTGTGTGTGTGTGTGTGTGTGTGTGTTTGTGTGTGTGTGTGTGTGCATGGGTGCATACGTACACTCATGTTTGGCTATTTTCAACACCCGTGTTCCCCACTCACCTCAGCTGCTGCTGCTTCCTCTTTCGCATCGACGATTCCACCTCCCACTGCCGGTACCTAGGAGTTGCAATGAGAGGAAACACAAGGGTACGGAGGAGAGCGAACGCGGCATTGTTTTGAAGCGCATCAGAGAGAGAATCCATCTCTCACTGTTGGCCCTACCAGCTGTGATGACGGAGAGGAGAGATGAGAGGAGAGAGAAGAGAGAGGAGACAGGAGAGTTTTGAGACGTCTCAAAAGAGAAGAGAGAGGAGAGATAAGAGCGAACAAAGCAAGCAACAGGGGGGAAAATTGAACGAGCAGTGGCCATGGCAGTGGGCATGGCAGTGGGCATGGCAGTGGGCTCCCACCCATGAAGGCTCGATATGGTCTCCCCCTCTCAGCCGAGTTTGTCCCTGTTTTACTCTACTGCTAAGACTTTGGGTTCTGAGATCAATTTGAGAGCTTCGTTTTAAATAGGGCGGATTTCACTGCTGTTATTCTTTTGCTTAAGCCTACTACACCACTGCAGCTCTCTGAGAAATGACTGAACATCGAGGAGAGAGACAGAGAGCGAGCAAAGCAAGTGAGAAGCAACAGAGAGGAAAATGGAACGAGCTGTGGGCGTGGCAGTGCGCATGGCATGGCATTACGGTGCTGCTGCTGCTGCTCAAGACAGCACGCAGTGGTGAAGCACCCACCCACCCACCCACCCACCCACCTGGCAGTGGCCATTGCGTTCCACACGTCGTTCAAGTTCCCTCTGCTGCTGCCCAGCATCGCATTTTCCTCATATTAGCCTGCCTAGCAGTGCATGTAAGCAGCACCCACCTGGCAGTGGCCATTGCGTTCCACACGTCGTTCAAGTTCCCTCTGCTGCTGCCCAGCATCGCATTTTCCTCATATTAGCCTGCCTAGCAGTGCATGTAAGCAGCACCCACCTGGCAGTGGCCATTGCGTTCCACACGTCGTTCAAGTTCCCTCTGCTGCTGCCCAGCATCGCATTTTCCTCATATTAGCCTGCCTAGCAGTGCATGTAAGCAGCACCCACCTGGCAGTGGCCATTGCGTTCCACACGTCGTTCAAGTTCCCTCTGCTGCTGCCCAGCATCGCATTTTCCTCATATTAGCCTGCCTAGCAGTGCATGTAAGCAGCACCCACCTGGCAGTGGCCATTGCGTTCCACACGTCGTTCAAGTTCCCTCTGCTGCTGCCCAGCACTGCACTGCATACCTCCCTGCCTGCCTGCCTACTCAACAATAGCACAGCAGCCGAACCCACCCCAGCCCTGCCTGTCCACCCAACAATAGAGTCGCACCACCACCCACCCGGCAGCACCAGCAGCAGAACCCACCTGGCAGTGGCCATTGTGTTCCACACGTCGTTCAAGTTCCCTCTGCTGCTGCCTAAGACAGCACTGCATACCTCCATGCCTAAGACAGCACTGCATACCTCCATGCCTACCCAACAACAGCACAGCACAGCACACACCTGGCAGTGGCCATTGCGTTCCACACGTCGTTTAGGTTCCCTCTGCTGCTGCCCAGAACCTCGTCGTCTCGAATGATCTCCACGGCCTGGTGGGGGTCAGCACAGGGCAGGCGGGGAGGGAGGTGGAGGCTCCTTAGCTGGAGCGGGTGTATCTGTTCATGCCAACACCTCAAGTTCCCTCTGCTGCTGCCCAGCACCTCGTCGTCTCGAATGATCTCCACTGCCTGGTGGGGAGACGGGCAGGCAGGCAGGCAGGGAGGGAGGGAGGAGGAGGACCCTCAGCTATCCGTGCACTTGGGTTCCCCTTGGGTGCATCTCAAGCCGCGGCTCCCTCTGCTGCTGCCCAGCACCTCGTCGTCCCGAATGATCTCCACTGCCTGGTGGGAAGGAAAGGGAGAAGGAAGGGAGGGAGCAGTGTTTGCTGCCGTGAGCAGTAAACTTGGGTCCCCTCCGCTGCTGCCCAGCACCTCGTCGTCCCGAATGATCTCCACTGCCTGGTGGGAAGGAAAGGGAGAAGGAAGGGAGGGAGCAATGTTTGCTGCCGTGAGAAGTACACTTGGGTACCCTCCGCTGCTGCCCAGCACCTCGTCGTCCCGAATGATCTCCACTGCCTGGTGGGAAGGAAAGGGAGAAGGAAGGGAGGGAGCAGTGTTTGCTGCCGTGAGCAGTAAACTTGGGTCCCCTCCGCTGCTGCCCAGCACCTCGTCGTCCCGAATGATCTCCACTGCCTGGTGGGAAGGAAAGGGAGAAGGAAGGGAGGGAGCAGTGTTTGCTGCCGTGAGCAGTAAACTTGGGTCCCCTCCGCTGCTGCCCAGCACCTCGTCGTCCCGAATGATCTCCACTGCCTGGTGGGAAGGAAAGGGAGAAGGAAGGGAGGGAGCAGTGTTTGCTGCCGTGAGCAGTACACTTGGGTCCTCTCCGCTGCTGCCCAGCACCTCGTCGTCCCGAATGATCTCCACTGCCTGGTGGGAAGGAAAGGGAGAAGGAAGGGAGGGAGCAGTGTTTGCTGCCGTGAGCAGTACACTTGGGTCCTCTCCGCTGCTGCCCAGCACCTCGTCGTCCCGAATGATCTCCACTGCCTGGTGGGAAGGAAAGGGAGAAGGAAGGGAGGGAGCAGTGTTTGCTGCCGTGAGAAGTACACTTGGGTCCCCTCCGCTGCTGCCCAGCACCTCGTCGTCCCGAATGATCTCCACTGCCTGGTGGGAAGGAAAGGGAGAAGGAAGGGAGGGAGCAATGTTTGCTGCCGTGAGAAGTACACTTGGGTCCCCTCCGCTGCTGCCCAGCACCTCGTCGTCCCGAATGATCTCCACTGCCTGGTGGGAAGGAAAGGGAGAAGGAAGGGAGGGAGCAATGTTTGCTGCCGTGAGCAGTACACTTGGGTCCCCTCCGCTGCTGCCCAGCACCTCGTCGTCCCAAATGATCTCCACGGCCTGGTGGGGAGGCAGGCAGGGAACAAGGGATAAGGAGAATTCTGTAACTGCGATGTGTCCCCGTGGGTGCATCTGAAGCTGCAGTTCCCTCTGCTACTGCCCAGAACCTTGTCATCCCGAATAGTCTCCACTGCCTGGTGGGGAGGGAGGTGGGGAGGCAGGCAGGGAGAAAGAGGAGCCTCTAGCTGCAATGCGTCAGCGCAATGAGTTCCCCTCAAGTGCATCCGAAGCCGCGGTCCCCTCTGCTGCTGCCCAGCCCAACACAGCGTCATCTCGACTGACCTTCACTGCCTGATAGGAAGGGAGGCAGGAAGAAGGAAGTTCTTTTTTAGTCGGCTCAAAAATCTGCACTGCCTGGTAGGAAGGGAGGCAGGAAGGAGGAAGGAGGAGAGGGAGACTGGAGGGAGGGAATGAGAGAATGATGGTGCGAGAGAGCAGGCAAGATGGTTCCGGTGCTGCTGCCCAGCCCAGCACAGCGTCATCTCGACTGGTCTTCACTGCACTGCCTGATAGGAAGGGAGGCGGAGAGGGAGAAGGAAGGGAGGAGGGGAGGCAGACGGGCAGGCAGGCGGGCAAGCAGGCGGGCAGAGAGGCAGGGAGGCAGGGACGGGGGATCTTCAGCTGTCCGTCCACTTGGGTTTTCCTTGGGTTTCCACTTGAAGGATCCCACTTGTCATCCTTCAAGTGGGAGCGACGTGTAATGAGGTTATTTTTGAGACGTCTCAAAAATAACCTCATTACACTTGGGTTTCCACTTGAAGGATCCCACTTATCATCCTTCAAGTGGGAGCGACGTGTAATGAGGTTATTTTTGAGACGTCTCAAAAATAACCTCATTACACTTGGGTTTCCACTTGAAGGATCCCACTTCACTTGTCATCCTTCAAGTGGGAGCGAGCTCCCCTCTGCCGTTCAAGAGCAAGCTCTGTCCGGGCATACTGTGGTGCAGTGCGGTGAGGTGCGGTGCGGTGTGGTTCTATCAATAAATACTCACTCAAACCACTGATCGCACTCCCACCCTCAGGTTACCTCACCCGGGGTAGCGAGTGAGCTCTGTCAGGGCCGTTCCCAGGTAGAAGTGCGCCTGGTGTGGTGCGCCTGGTGTGGTGTGGTGCAGTGCAATGTGGTGCGGTGTGGTACAATCAATAAGCGGTCACCAAACCACTCATCAAACTCCAAAACCAGCTCACCCTTTCAAGCACATGAGCTGCCTCGGGGTAGCGAGCGAGCTCTGTCAGGGCCGTTCCCAGGTAGAAGTGCGCCTGGTGTGTGGTGTTGTGTGGTGCAGTGCGGTATGGTTTGCAGGGAAAAAATGGCGGAAGAGAAGTGGGGGAGGAAGGGGTGGGGGAAAGGAAAGACATGCATTGATGGTACATTTCCAAAAAGCAGTGCAATTGCCTCTTGGCATTACTCAACTTGACTCACAAGTAGGGGTGAGCAAGGGGCGAACACGAACGTGTTCATGTTCGCCCCTGCACGAGCACAGCCGTTCGCCGAACCGAAAAAGGGTGTTCGGTGTTCGCCTGTGAAGGTGTGTTCGGGCGAACCTCGAACACGTTCGTGTTCGACGCGGGGCAAATTGCAGCAGCGGCCCGAACACGAACGTGTTCGGGCGAACGTCGAACACGTTTGTCACGAACACTTTAAGCAAAAAAACAAACCTGTTCGGTTCGCCTCGAACGTGTTCGAGGCGAACCGAACAGGCGTTCGTTTATTTGCTCAGCCCTACCCACAAGCTCTGTAAATGTCTTTCTTAAGAAAAAAATGCGAGCAGAAGTGAGACACAAGGCATTGACAATCCACAACAGCATGTTTCCACGTCGTTTGAGACGTTATAGCCAACTTGACGGACTTTTGTTGTGCTCATGCGCTCTCACAGTGCATTCATGTTTCAAGTTTGAGACGGCTGAGGCGTTTAGGCTCATGTTGTACGTCTGAGACGTTTGGGCTCATGTTGTACGTCTGAGACGTTTGGGCTCATGTTGTACGTCTCAGACGGCTGAGGCGTTGGGAAGGGTTCTGAGACATCACAGTGCTCAATTGTCCAAAGTGCGTTCATGTTTCTTTTCAGAATTCTTATCAAACCAACGTGCGCACACACCTTCACTGACTTCTTGTCTTGCTCAATCGCCCTCACACAGTCATGCTCCACCAGCAGCCAGTCGCTGGGGAAGGAGGGCAGAGGTCGTGGTGAGAGGCGAGGGGAGGAGGGGGTAGATGGAATGGTGGGATTAAGGGAACCATCCCTTCGATCGCTCCCACACAGTCATGCTCCACCAGCAGCCAGTCGCTGGGGAAGGAGGGCAGAGGTCGTGGTGAGAGGCGAGGGGAGGAGGGGGTAGATGGAATGGTGGGATTAAGGGAACCATCCCTTCGATCGCTCCCACACAGTCATGCTCCACTTGCAGCCAGTCACTGGGGAAGGAGGGCAGAGGTTGAGGAGAGGCAGGGAGGGGGTAGTGCTGGGAGGGCAGTGAGGAAAAAACTCAGCCACCGCTCTCACGCAGTCATGCTCCACCTGCTGCCAGTCACTGGGAAAAGGAAAATAGGGGTGGGGAATGGTCGGAAGAAAGAGGGGCGACAGATGGTAGGTAGGTAGCACACTGAGGAAGAGAATCAGTCACCGCTCTCACACAGACATGTTCCACCTGCTGCCAGTCGCTGGGGAAGGAGGGCAGGGGCAGTCATGCTCCCACCCTCGCTTCCACTCTTCCCCCACCCGGCCCCCACCTCCCACTCTCTCACCCGCCCCCCACCTCCCACTCTCTCACCCGGCCCCCACCCTTCCAATACTCACCCTCGCTTCCTGTGACACAGAGTGTGTTTTGAGACGTCTCAAAACACACTCACCCTCGCATCCTGTGACACAGAGCGCGGTTGATCCAGAAGGTGCCAACAAGTTTCAAGGCGCCTCAAAACTCATCCCAACGCCTACCCACGAGTCCCAAGTTCCCCACAGTTCCCCATCTTCCCCACTCACCCTTGCTTCCGGTGGCACAGAGCGCGATTGGTCCAGAAGGTGGCGACGGATGGGCACAGGCGAATGGCCTGGTTGGGGACAAAGGGGGAGGGAAGGGGAGGGAAGGGAAGGGAAGGGAAGGGAAGGGAAGGGAAGGGAAGGGAAGGGAAGGGAAGGGAAGGGAAGGGAAGGGAAGGGAAGGGAAGGGAAGGGAAGGGAAGGGAAGGGAAGGGAAGGTAAGGGGAGAGAGAGCAAAAGGGCCACCTGAGTGTAACACTTCATAGAGAGTAGCACTTGCGGCACCTTCAGCCATGGAAGGGAGAGCTGCAGGAGGGCCATGTGCATTACACATGTCTGCCCCATACCTCGCTGTAGAACGTGATAGCAGCGGTGATATTTCCCGCGCTGTACTGCTCGTTCCCCTGCTCTTTCAACCGCTCCGCACGCCTCTGCACACTCGAAACTCCGCTCCCACCGCCGCTATGAGCGCTCGCGCTCGTTGAGGACTCCCCTGCTGCTGCTGATTGCGCCGGTGTCGCTGCCCCTGCGCCTGCGCCTGCTGCTTGCGTTCCCCCCCTGCCTCCCCCGCCGCTTCCCCCGCTGCCCCCCCATCTGTCGCCTGTGTTCCCCCCTCTCTCTCGCCATCCCGCTCCCCCTCGTTCTCTCCCTCCTCTACCTGTTCCCCCTCGTTGCTCCCCTTCCCGATCACCCCTCCCCCGCTGCTCTCCCCCAGAGTCGCCGCCTCTTCTGCCGCCCTCGCCTCGTCTGGAACCTTCCGCGCGACCCCAACTAAAGAAAAACGATCGCTCCATGCTAGCCCGATGCTGCTCGATGCTGCTCGATACTAGCCCGATGTCAGCCCGATGCTAGCCCGAAACGACGCCCTAAACGAGTTTACGAGAATCCGGTTACGATGCTGACTGAACAACGGATTTCGACGCTGGACGACAGGCTGCGATGCTAAGCGATTGGCTGCGATACTGAGCGATAGGGAAGTATCGACTAAACTGGCTCACTTAACTCTGCGACGGTACTTCAACCCCAAAGAGAAAGTATATTGACTCAAAACGCAGGCTTCACTTCCAGGAAGCTTCAACTGGCACGTCTCGTTACAGACAAACGTCAGCAGAATTCGATAAAAAAACTCAAACTGCGGCAGACGCACTGTTCCCCCACCCGCCTACCACCTGATGCTTGGAATCCGCTTGTAAAATTTAATGCTTGCCAAGAACCTATGTGAGAACCTTCCCCACCCACTTACGACCCTAATCAGGACATTATTGCCTTTCCGGACACCATTCCTTCCTTGTCGGCCCTAGCCACGACATTCCCTTTCCGGTAATAAGCCGCTTTTTAGTAGACCCTTACGTTCCTCGGGACCTTTCTCTTTTCAATTTCCGAAAGTGTCTCCTATATAGAACTGCATGAGAGGTACGGGGTTGAAGTTTCAAATCAAACCAGGAGGCCCCCTGCGAAGCAAGCTGCGGTCACAAGAAAGAGTAAAGAGCATTTTTCGTACCTCATTAGCTTGTGGAGGTCGACCCAACTGGTGAATTTTGAATTTGGAGAAAACTTCGATATTAGAAGGTGACAAAATATCCCACCTCGGTATTGTGCGGTGATTTTGCTCAGTTGCCTCGACCGTTGGTCAGTCACCCCAGCCAGCCACCGAAAACAGGGGTACGTACAAAGCTCAGATTGGGTCATATATAATGCGTTCAAAGCTCGTTTAACACGATTCAGTACGTTACAAAACGGCGAAGAGCGTTTGCTATCTTCCAACGCTTTTACAACAACGCACCGGACTGCTCGCTGACACCTGTACCAAGAGTTTTTACATTCCAGCCATAGCTGCGTGCTCCGCGCACCGCTTGCTTTGCGAGCTCTTTCTACCCTTTCTCAGCATTCCTTCCTCATTTTCTTTCCCTACCGCCATTCTGCCCGTCGCTCGCACGCGTCGTGCCTGGCAGCTCTCATCTGTGATCCACCCTCGTTGGACCATCATGGATGCTCAAACCGAGGACGAGGCCGCGACGGACCAGCTAGCAGGTCGTGTTAGGGCTACCATTACGGATTTCGCAACGGCTACAATCGAGGATAAGCTGATTCGCTTATCTCCTTTGGATGCAGTGATGGGTCCGTTCGGGTTCACCATAGTTTACATTTTCCCGCCTCCCGAACCTCCAAAATTCCGCGAATTTCTGCATTCCGAGTCTCCAAGAGTCACCAGCCGAACGTCTGCCAAACAAGTACCTCTTGCCAAACCAGATACGCGTTCCGAACCGATTTCTGCCGAACCTAGAATGTCTTCCGAGGCGCGTGATACTCTCGCCGACTCAACCGAGGAGTTTTTTAACCAACCGTACGATTTGGGCCGGCTTCGATCTTCATTCTTTGACCTAATCGAACAAGACTACCCTATTATGCTGGGGAGATTGCACGTTGATCCTGCAACTGGCGTAACGAGCGTGCTACAAACGAGGGAATTCCTCGCTGCTGGCGCGAAAGCAATCAGATTCACTCAAGTTCCAAAATCATTTCGATCAGAGTCTAAACCAGAAAATCCGTTCCCTCCTCTCACAACCACCGACGCCATGGCTTCCCTCCCAATGTCGTTAATGCCGGAGCGTGATCCGACGGAGTTAATCTCCATCAAGGCTACTATTTTAGCGGATGGCGGGATGGCGACCGGAGTGAGTGTTAGTCACTGCCTAGTGGACGGAGAGGGTATGTTTACATTCATGAAGATGTGGGGAATGCGGTACAGAGGGGTGAGGAGTGGTACAGCGGCGCAGCAGCAGCAGCAGCAGCAGGATATGATTTGTCATGATAGGTCGCTGCTATTTGGGAAGGGAGTTGGGTCAAAGCTGCCTCATCCAGAGTTCAGAGTTCTGGAATCTTGTGAGGAATCTGCACAAGCAGCGGTAGCAGCAGCAGCAGCAGCAGCAGCAGCATCGGAAACAGCAGCAGACGCAGCGACATCGAAACCAGCAGCAGCGAAAGAAACAACGGCATCAGAAGACGCAGCACCACAGGCATCATCAGCAGCGTCAGAAACAGTACAAACGGCAACACCAACGGTTTCGAAAGCAGCCGAAGCAGCAGCAGCAGCGGCAGCAGCAGAAGGAGAAGCAGAAGCATCAGCAGCAGCAGAAGTGCCAACTGCAGCAGCGCCGCCTGTGTTTCCTGCAACCTCACATACCATCTTCCACCTCTCCCCTAACCAGCTCAAAGCACTCAGATCCGTCGCATCTGGGCCGTTAATTGGCTCCATCGCATCAGGGCCGTCGGATCCCTTATCAGAACTCCATCTGACGGATCACGACCCTCAAGGACCCAATTACGTCAGCACTATTGACTCCGTGTCAGCACTCATGCTCCTCCTAATCTCGCAAGCCCGAGGCCATAATAAAGACGTCCGTTTCACCACTGGTGTCAACGGCCGGAGGAGACTAATCCCTCCGCTGCCCGAAGACTATTGCGGAAACGTGATTTTCAACTCCTTGTCTTGTTATTCCGCTTCAGAACTTGGTGAGATGACACCTGCAACACTGAGGCTTATTGCACAGAGAATCCGGCGATCCATTATAAGCTGCTCCGATACCTACATGTGCGACGCCATAGAATTCCTCACAGAGCAGCAAAATATCTCCTCTGTGCGAGTCGGAACGGATTTTTTCTTCGGGGATGACATCATGCTGACGTCATGGGTGAACCATGGCATGTATGATGCGGATTTTGGCGCCCGGCCGTGGTACGTGGGAGTGCCGAGGCTGCCGTGCTGCGATGGCATGGTGGTGGTCATGGAAGGGATTGGGGGAGCCGAGGGGTTGGATGTGCTGCTGCTGCTGGAATCTGCAGCTTCAGAGCGGTTCAAGCAGTTATGGAATGAGGTTCCGTTCTGGCAGTGATATAGCAAGAGTTTGGTGTGTGTAGGCGTGTAAAGCATGATGCATGTGTATACGGTAGCTTTGATGCTACATGGAATAGTGTGGGTTCAAGAGGTTACGGAACGAGGTTCCGTTTTGGCAGCGAGGTGAGGATGGAAGGTGGGGTTGTTTTGCTCTCCACTATTGTTTGCTCTCTAGTGAGCACCGCCTGAACGTATTGCTGTACATTACCGTACGGTATTTGTTGTATAAAGCATCTATTGTATTGCTGTATCTTGTGCTGCATGCACAGGCTACCCCCTCATCACTGCTGCTGTCCTAGGTGCACCTTACAGTTTGTTTGTGGGTGGTTTTGAATTGCACCTTACTGTGGGGAATCGCAAAGTACCGTAAGCCATGGAAGGAGCTCAATCACCTCGCCACTGAAAAACTGTGAAATCGAACTAGGTACCGGTATCGGTACCATGTTTCCTACCGTACATGCATCCTGTTTCAATCTCAACCAGTTTGAGCAGCAATTAACAGTACCTTCTCTAATCCCCACCACACCACTCCCCTGCCCACTTTTAAGGCGCCTCTCCTTCCCCAACGCCAGCCCTAAGAGCTCGGCGCCTTGCAGTTGGCAAGCTTCCATCGCGCCATCTCCCCGCTCGGCTTCCTTCTGAAATCCGCTGCAATGCCGTTCCCATCAATATCCACCAGCCCAGGAGTCACATACTTTCCCACCGTCACCACCATCCCCGACCCATCATTTAATTCATACACGGATTGGATCAACCCCTTTCCGAACGTTCTCGACCCGACCAAAACGGCTCGGCAGTTATCGTGCAAAGCTCCCGCTACAATCTCACTAGCGCTGGCCGTTCGGCCGTTCACGAGAACGGTTAGAGGGGCTCGAGTGAGCGGTTTTCCCGTGGCTTCGATGCTTCTTTTCTGGGGTAAATCACCCGGGCGGGCCTCGGTGTAGACCACGGTTTGCCCTCTCTCGAGAAAGAGTTTTGCGATTTCTACCCCGGATTGCACGAGCCCGCCTGGGTTGTCCTGTAGGTCGAGGACAAAGGATGTCGCCCCGGCTGCTTCTAGCCGTTGGATCGCGGTTACCACGTCACGCTTTGCCGCTGCGTTAAATTCCTTGAGCCGAATGTAACCAACAGGACCGGTTGGGGCAAAGGAGGAGGAAAACACAGAAGAGAACATGGAAGAGGAAGAGGAGGAGGAAGAGGAGGGAGAGGGGGAGGAGGAAGAGGAGGAAGCAGCAGAGGAGAAGTCCTGGAATAACCCTAGAGGAGAAATGGGGTCGTTTCGATCGAGACGGTACTGTACTGGTGACTGCACTTCGCTAGCGCGCGCCATAGTGAGGGACTCTATAGGGGAGCACAAGTCGTGGCGGATGGCGATGGTCACAAGTGTGCCTTTGGGGCCCTGGATGAGCGAAGATACGTCGAATGCGGACATGCCCTGCACGCTCGTGCCATCCACTGAAACGAGCTCGTCCCCTTGCCGCACGCCTGTGTGTGTGAGAGAGGGGAAAGGGCGAGGGGGGGGTGGGGGAAGACGGGGATTGAGGGGAACAGGAGATGGATGAGCGAAGATACATTGAATGTGGACACGCACTGTAAGCTTTCAGCTTCACCCACCCGCCCTCCATGTCTTTCCCCCCACAGTAAGCCAGTCACTGTAAGAATGCAAGGACGTGCAAGTCAAGATGAGCTCACCTGCTAGCTGTGCCGGCGAGCCGAGCACGATTCCCACCACCTTCAGCTTCACCCGCCCGTCCTCCACATCCTCGCCTATATTCAACCCGATTCCAGTAACGTCGTACTTAGCTAATGCCGCGAATTGCTTAGGCGAAACGAACCTAGAATATGGATCGTTTAAGCTGGCAAGCATGCTGCTGATCATAGCGTAGGCCTCCCCCCTGCTTTTGGGGGGTTTTCGTAAATAGCCTCCTTTTTTGCTGCCCAGGCCTCGGGCGTCCACCCCTTGTTCCGGGCATCGAAAAATGTTTCGTTGACCACTTCCCAGGCCTCCAGGACCACTGATTGGTCCGTTATTTCTGCTTCAGGGGTGAAACGTTCGCCTGTGAAATTGGTGGGGGACGGTGGAGGGCAAAAGAGAGAGGAAGCGGAGGAAGAGGCAGTGATGCTGGTGCTGTTACTGCTGCTGCTGCTGTCAGTGCTGCTGCTGCTGTCAGTGCTGCTGCTGCTGCTGCTGCTGCTGCTGCTGCTGCTGCTGCTGCTGCTGCTGCTGATGGGGCTACCGCCGGTACTGAAGGTGCTGGTGGTGGTGGTGGAAGGTTCGGCGAAGGTCGAAGTCAACTCTAACGGCGGGGCAGGCAACAGCGCCACTTGCAAAATTCTCTCTCCAATGAGATCCGGTATCTGAGCAGGGACATTTGCGGCAGAGTTATCTGAGCTCGTAAGCTCCTGTATCCGGTGATCTTTCAGACGATAATCCGCTACGGATGTCGGGTTGGCGTATATCGGGGACAGGTCACTGGCAGGTGAGGCTAAGGCCGGGAGGGAGGAGCTGAGAAGAGCGAGAAGCATGCAGGAAGCGGAGAGCGAGAGCCACAAACGAGGAAATGCCGTATCCGCGTTATTGAGTGATTCGAGAGAAGCGCACAAGGAGGCCCACAGGCGTGATGGCGAAGACTCGACGCTGGATTGAACGGCATCAGGACGTGATCTTAACGGTGTCTGAGGCTCCAACGATAGATTCTTCCTAGCAGTTGAGCCCTCGTTTCTGTCACTTCCGGAACCCCCACGTGTCAATTCGGCATTGAGATTATTAGAACGAGCTGTTTGAAACGTCGATCGTGAAGAGTGAGGATCGGGCGGCGAATTGGGACCGTCCGATTGAAGTCGGTGATGATTATGACACGTGGCTGAGCATTGCCGACGAACGACTCTGGGAACCGCGATCACGGCACGTCTTGTGACATTTCCCGATGTGATTGTAGTGAATGCGACAACGCCGGGTGGCAGGGTGTTTCGAGCGACAAGCTGCGACGTCATCGAAAAATCTGGCCACGGAAATCAGAAACGACGATCCCCAAGCAAGGTGAGGATTCCTCGAAAATCTTCTGAGAGAACGGTTCCCAGAGTCGTTCCGCGATCACGGCACGACTTCTGAAAGAATTCTACCGGTGCCGCAGCTCCGCAAGCGAGACTCTAGAGCACAAGTATCCTAAGAAACCTCCGCAGTTCCTTGATTTATGGCTTCCCAATACAGGCCTTGAGAACTTCCTGGTCCCTAATTGCAGGCTCAGCGCAGCGTTCGTGGTATCGCTACCGGGCGTCTCTATGTAGCGTGTAAGAGAGCCTGGTGCTGCCTCTAAGCGGAGAGCAGGCAAGCAAAGAAGGCAGTTTACTTGGGAGGGAGCCAGTACTAACAACCTAGGCGGTTTTGATATGCTTAGGGCGCGTGTCTTTTGGTGTAGATTGTCAAAGTTCGAGCCTAGTACCGCTTTGTAACGTGGAGACACGGCTCTCAACTGTATCATACCGCATACAACCTTTCTAAAAGTTCAACTTTTGGCCAAAGTTCAACCTCAAGGACACGCGCCCTTAATTCTAGGATGAGGAAACATGGTTGTTGTGGGTCGAAAGGTTGGATAAGGGAGTGTGTTACACCAACATTCTTGCGGTTCAGTAGGTTTTTATATGTTTTAAATCGGTCATCATTGAGCATAAAGTGGTTGGGTATGGTATTCGGGAAACCCAGTTTCCCAAGGGACACCCTGGCCGCAGTCTTTCCAAATTCTCGTGGTCCACGCTTTTGCGGCACTCTCAAGGTCATCACTGCATCCACGTGGCACAGCTTCTTTCCCCCCCCTAAAGCTTCGATTAGGGGTGACACTACACAAGACGAGGGGTCATGGGAAACCACTCGCAATTTATACTGTTAAACTATGAAGTGTGATTCAATCATTTGTGCATTCCCATTCCAGCTTGCTGAACTAATAGATTGTGCACTATATTCACCTCAAATGAAATATGTGCTACTTCATGATATCTCTGAAATGATATAGTGCATTTCAATAAATTGATAGCTAGGCTGAAATATTCCGGGTACGAATAAAAGCGGACTCCATAACGAAGCAAACAACTTCTGGGCAAGTTTTTGCGTTATAAACTTCAGGTCGTGTTTGGAATGAAGCTGTGTGAGACGCGCCTCGTTTGTAGTAACACTGGTAGTTCTGACTTGCACTAGCTAAATCCTTCTGTCGCCTGCGCGAAACGCTTTGGCCCTGCGAGTTTCCATGGCTACCACTTCAAGCTCTGACCGTTCATTTTCCGGGAATTTGGGTAGAGTCGCAGCTACGGAACGTCCCGTCGTTGCAAAAGCTCGCTCAGGTGCTACGGGTGACTCGAGCTCCAAATCCGCTAAGCCGGCTGCGGCTGGAAGAACGGCTGCAGCGACTGCGGTTCTCGCAGCTGTCGCCGCGATTGCCGCGGCAGCAGCTGTGGGGGTATTTCCCGGCGGATTGGGAAATTTCGAGGTGGAAAAGTGGAAATCTGCTTTTCATCTGACTCAGAGGGACCTGAGATTCGAGTCGGTTCACATGGACCCGGAATTTCGGCACGTGGAGGGAGCGGGGCCTGGGATTGGTGCGAGTGAGATTGTTGTTGACGTGGACCGGCTTCAGGAACAGGTAGGGCTGGGTTTTCGAATCCCCTCCCCTTCCTGGCACCGCCCTCCCCACGCTCTCCCCCCAACCCCCCTGCTTCAGGAGCAGTTAGGCTGGCCTTATGGATTCCTTCCCCTACCTCACCGCCGTCCCGCTACTCTCCTCCTAGCCCCCCTGCGCCAGGAGCAGGTACGCTGGCGTTTCGAATCCCCTCCCACCCCTCACCCACCTCCCTCCCCTCCCCTCCCTTCTCCCCCCTCCTCCCCCTCCCCTCCCCTCCCCACTTCCCGCCTTCCATTTGTCCCCTCTCTCTCTCCCCCCTCTTCTCCACCCACTTTGATCCCACCTTCAGACCACCTTGCCCCATCAGACCACCCACCTTGCCACGTCAGACCATCCACCTTGCCACGTCAGACCATCCAGCTTGCCACGTCAGACCATCCACCCTGCCACGTCAGACCATCCGCCCTGCCACGTCAGACCATCCACCTTGCCACGTCAGACCATCCACCTTGCCACCGTCCCCAGAATGTTTCATTCCGTCTCCTCTAAGAAAATCCCCACCCGATCTTAAACTTAAATCCACGTTCTAAAAACGAATCTCATTATGACCGAGCAAAAGCTCTTCTCCTTTCCCTCCTCCTCGGTTCGCCTCAATTATTCAACCCATCCTGATCTGATCGTACCCACCCTCCCTCCTCAAATGGATCACCTTCAGCATCGGCGAACCGCCACCCCACCTTTAGCATTGACGAGCCGCCAGCACTGTGAGGCGCCTGTGAAGTCGGAAAGAATACTTAGAGGCACTTTGAAAGAACACTCGGAAATCTTTCTCCATTCGCTTCAACGCAATCATCCATCCCATCCTGATCGTACCCACCCTCCCTTCCATGTCAGATCGACCACCTTCTCTTCTCCCATGACGAGCCGCCAGCCAGTTCTTTGAGGCGCCGCAAAAGTCCTGAAAGATTGTCAAAGGTCCTTCTCTATTCCTCTCAGCTCAATCATTCGTCAATCCGTCCTGATTGTACCCACCCACCCTTCCCTCCTCAGATCGATCACCTTGCCACAGCCGCGCCAACTCACTCTTCTCCCATGACGAGCCTTCTCTTCTCCCATGACGAGCCTTCTCTTCTCCCATGACGAGCCGCTAGCTCTTTGAGGCGCCTTAAAAGTTCTCAGAAGCTCTATTTGTTTTAACTTAGTCATCCATTCCATTCCATCCTGATCATACCCATCATCCCTTCCACCTCAGATCGACCACCTCGCTACCTTCTCCAATGACGAGCCGCCAGCTGTGACGCGGATACTGTTCACGGAGAACGACGTGAGGGCGAGAGAGTGAGTTCACCGAGAATGTTGTAAGTCGATTCAAGGGACACTTTTGTCTTGCATTCTTTCCTCAATGCGTGTTGCTACATACACTGACTGACAGTCGTTGCTGCTCTGACCTTTCTAACATCTTAATTTTGTATGTGCTCATGTGTGTGTCTGTACGTGGATTTATTTATGTGTTTATCTGTGTATGTGTATGTGTGTGTGTGTTTGTCTGTGTATGTGTATGTGTGTGTGTGTGTTTGTCTGTGTATGTGTATGTGTGTGTGTGTTTGTCTGTATATGTGTATGTGTGTGTGGTTGTATTGCACAGTTACGTGAAATCTTTAATGAAAGAAGCGGATCTGGCCATAAGAGAGGATGCCATCGGCAACATTTTTGGCAGATGGTATGTGCGTATGTATGTGCATGTGTCTGTCCTTGTGACTGTATATGCGTCTGTCTGTGTGTCCGTATACGCTTAGCAGTTACGCGAAATCTTTAATGAAAGAAGCGGATCTGGCCATAAGAGAGGATGCCATCGGCAACATCTTTGACAGATGGTATGTGCGTATGTATGGGCATGTGTCTTTCTGTGTGTCTATGTATGCGCAAGGCTGAATTGAAATCTCTTATGATGGTACATTTATACAGACAAATACGAGAGAATGTTATCGACAAACAATTCAAACACCTTCCACTTCGCCCCCCCTCAAATTTGGCGTCCACTGTCTCCTATCCTCCGCCATTTTCCATCACTTTTCTTCTCATTTTCTTTCTTTACTTTGTCCTTCCTTGCCTTTAAGCTGTCACAGTTGACTATTTCACTATTTCCTGAACCCCTTTTCTTGCGCACACAGGGAGGGATCCAATCAGTCACTGCCAGCTGTCATGACTGGGTCGCATACTGACGCGATCCCATTGGCTGGGAAATACGATGGGGTGGTGGGCGTGCTGGGAGCGATCGCTGCAGTGCAGGCGTTGAAGCGGTGGGTCCTGCTTGTGAGGGTACGCTTCCTCCCTCCCCTCTCTCTTGTCATGTCGTGCCTCCCCACTCGCCGGGAAGTACGACGATGGGGTGGTGGGCGTGCTGGGAGCGATCGCTGCAATCCAGGCGTTGAAGCGGCGGGTCTTCCTTGCTGCCCTCCCCTCGCTCCCCTCGTTTCCCTCTGGCCTGTGATCGGACGTACGACCCGCCTTGGTGGTGGGCGTGCTGGGAGCGATTGCTGCAGTGCAGGCGTTGAAGCGGTGGGTCTTGCGTATAAGGGTACGCTCCCTTCCCCCCCCACTATCGTGTTTTCTCTCTCTCTCACCGCACCTGTTGAAGGGGAGGTGGAAGGGAGTCTGTTTGTTTCCGACCCCTTTCCCCATCCCCTGTTCCCATCCCCCTTTCCGCGTCTCCTTATTCCCCCAAACTCCCTTTCACCTCCCCCTCTTCCCCTGCTCCCCGCTCACTGTTCCCATCAGGGCCGGTTTCTCCCCCCATCGCCCCATCGATGAGCTCATGTTCACCTATCAAGAGCCCACTCTGTATGAAGGAGTGTTTTGAGACATACACAGTGGGCTCTTGAGAGGCGAACATGCTCTTTGACACTCAAAGCTCATGTTCACCCCTCGAGAGGGGGTACTCTGTTTGTCTCCCTCTCACGGACCCCCTTTCTCGCGACAGTCCTTGTTGCAACTTACGATGTCACCTCGCTTTACCCCAGCATCTCCATCGAGCGAGGTCTTGAAGCGGTCAACTGTTTCCTTACTAGAGAGAACCCGCAGCTCACTCGCACTACCCCTCATGGCTCTTCTGGGTTGGGTTATGAGGAACATATTTTGAGGCGCCTCAAAATGAGGAACATAGCTCACTGGAATTATGACCCAAGATTTCTCCCCCCATCGCCCCATCGATGAGCTCATGTTCACCTCACAAGACCCCACGCTGTTTGTCCTCCTCTTTCTTCCCCCCCGCTCCCCTTCCCCTCAACAATCTGTGCCCGTCAGGGCGGGGTTCTCCCCCCATCGCCCCATCGATGAGCTCATGTTCACTTCAGATGAAACAAGGGAGATTCTTTCCACATCCCTGCCCATATCCTCTGAAGAGCCCACTTTGCTTGTTTCCACACCCCCCCTTTCTCTCTCCCCTTTGTGCAGGGCCGGGTTCTCCCCCCCATCGCCCCACCTCCCCTACCTCCCGTTCCACACCCCCCCTTTCCCGTTCCCCCTTGTCTACAGGGCCGGGTTCTCCCCCCCATCGCCCCATGGAAGTGCTCATGTTCTTCTCTGGTTGTGAGGCGCCTCAGAACTATGCTCACCTCTCAAGAGCCAACTATGTTTTTCCCCCTCGTTCACCCCCCACTCCCACCCACCCACACCTCCTTCCCCCCTCAGAACTATGCTCACCTTTCAAGAGCTCACGTTTCTTGTTTTGCCTTCCCACACCCCCCTTTCCCCACCTCCATTCCCCTACCCCCCGTTCCACACCCCCCCTTTCCCTTTCCCCTTTGTGCAGGGCGGGATTCTTCCCCCGTCGCCCCGTGGAAGTGCTCATGTTCACTTCAGAGGAGCCCACCCGCTTTGGAATAGGCTGCCTGGGCAGGTGGGGTGGGGTGGGGTGTTGAGCGGTAAAGGGGGGGGGAGGAGGGGGGGGGGGGGGGGGGGCGGGTGAGGTTCTGTCCCTCCATTGCCCAATCGAAGTGCTCATGTTCACTTCATAGGAGCCCACCCGGTCTGGGATAGGCGGCCGGGGCAGGTGGGGTGTTGGTGGGGGTGGTGGCTGGTGCTGCCCTGCTTGCTTGGTGGGTCAACTGGGGTGTTGTGCGGTAAGGGGGGGTGGGGCGGGGTGGTATGTAGGGTGGGGTCCCCCCCCCCCCCATCGCCCAATTGAAGTGCTCATGTTCACCTCAGAGGAGCCCACACGCTTTGGAATAGGCTGCCTGGGCAGGTGGGGTGTAGTGCGGTATGGGGGGTTCGGGCGAGGTGGAGTGCAGTGGGGTGTAGGGCATCTCCCCCCATCGCCCCATGGAAGTGCTCATGTTCACTTCATAGGAGCCCACACGCTTCGGGGTATGCTGACTGGGCAGGTGGGGTGTAGTGCGGTATGGGGGGTTTGGGCGTGGTGGAGTGGACTGTAGGACGTCCTCCCCCCCCATCGCCCCATCCATGTGCTCATGTTCACTTCAGAGGAGCCCACCCACCCACAATGAGTCTCCTATTTGTCGTATACCTTCTGCCTTCCCTCCCCCTTTCTCTGCCCTTCACCCACCGTCTTCCCCCCATCTCCTGCCTTTCCCCTGCCCTTTCCCCTCCCATCTACCTCCCTATCCTCTTCCCTCCCCCTGTGCCCTTTCCACCCCCTTCTCAACCTATACCCACTCTTCACCACCACCCCTCCTCCCCACCCACACCCCCGTTTCACTGTTCACCCCACCCATGCCCTTCCCACCCCCTCCCCACCCACGCTGTTTCATTGTTCAACTCCCCACCCACACTGTTTCACTGTTCATCCCCCCCAGTCGTATGTTGGCCAACCAAACTGGTTATCTAAATCGCCTGCTGGCGCTACAGGACAAAGACGGCCGCCCGTTCGCTGAGGCTGCTGCCGAGGCTGGGTACGGGGAGGCTCGGAACGCAGCTTCGGTGGCAGCAGTGGCTTTGGATCGGGAACAAATGGGGGCTTTTGTGGAGCTTCATATTGAACAAGGGCCGCTACTGGAAGAGCAAGGTATGTTTATACATATATATAAATATTATTTGAACCACATATATGTGTGTGCATATGTACGTGTACATTAATGTGCTTGTTATTTAGTTATATCTACATATGTATGTGCACATTTGTTGTGCAAGCAATGTTACCAGCATGGTGACAGTGGTAACAACAGCACCAGTAACACTGATGGTTAGTTCCCTTTAGGTGTATCTATGTACGTTACTTCATCATCCCATGTATTTATCTGTGCATGTGCATGCGCGCGCACATGTGTGCGTGTGTATGTGTGTGTGTGTGCGCGCGCGCGCGCGCACGCCCGCACGTGCGTGCGTGCGTGCGTGCGTGCGTGCGTGTGTACGGGTGTGCCCGTGTGTGTGTGTCCAGGGCTGGATATTGGCATAGTGACAGCGATAGCAGCACCAGCAACACTGATGGTGGATTTCAGTGGAGGAGGGGGACAAGCCGGCGCCCTACTCATGAAGCACAGGTGTGTTGAGGAGTGCTGAGGTTTGCTGTAATGTCTTGAGGTGTGTAGTGGTGTGTGCAGGACTAGACAGTGGCATAGTGACAGCGATAGCAGCACCAGCAACACTGATGGTCGACTTTAGTGGAGGAGGGGGCCATGCTGGCGCCCTACTCACGAAGCACAGGTGTGTGGAGGAGTGCTGAGGTTTGCTGTAATGTCTTGAGGTGTGTAGTGGTGTGTGCAGGACTAGACAGTGGCATAGTGACAGCGATAGCAGCACCAGCAACACTGATGGTCGACTTTAGTGGAGGAGGGGGCCATGCTGGCGCCCTACTCACGAAGCACAGGTGTGTGGAGGAGTGCTGAGGTTTGCTGTAATGTCTTGAGGTGTGTAGTGGTGTGTGCAGGACTAGACAGTGGCATAGTGACAGCGATAGCAGCACCAGCAACGCTGATGGTCGATTTCAGTGGAGGAGGGGGGCATGCTGGCGCGCTACTCATGAAGCACAGGTGTGTTCAGTTCAGGTGTCCTGAGGTGTGCTGAGGAGTGATTAGGTGAGCTGAGATGTGCGTGCGTGCAGGGCGGAGTGAGAGCAATAGCAGCACTAGCCACCCCGATGGTAGATTTCAGTGGAGGAGGAGGGCATGCTGGCGCGCTGCTCATGAAGCACAGGTGTGTTGAGGAGTGCTGAGGAGTGCTGAGGTGTGCTGAGGTGTGTTGCGTGCGAAGACCTCCTCTCCCTCTCCACATTGCATTTCCCCCTCCCTCCCCTCCCCGTCACCCCCTCCCATTCCCCTCCCTCATCCCCCTTTTTCCCCCTCTCTCTTGCTATCCCAGGAACGATGCAGACTTTTGAGAATTCTCAAAAGCGACTCAGATTTTTCCCCCTCTCTCTTGCTATCCCAGGAACGATGCAGACTCCCCTTCCTCTGCTGAGCTCTTCTCTCCCCTTCCGCACTCCCCTCCTTCATTCTCCTCATCCCCTTTCCCTTTGCCAACTCCCCCCCCTTGGTCCATGTCTTGATATCCCAGGAACGATGTAGGACTGGCAGCTGCTAAGAGTTTTACTCCCCCTCCGCACTCCCCCTCATGTCCCTCTGTCCACCCACCTCACCCCAACCCCGGTTCTGATCTCGTTTGCTATTAGGAACGATGCAGGATTGGCAGCTGCTGAGCTCTCATTGGCTGTTGAGGCTGCTGTGCTGGCGACCAAGGCAGACGACACAGTGGGGACCACAGGTATACCCAGGAAATCCACAGAAATACCGCAGGAATATACCCCAGAAATTCACATAAATACCGCAGGTGTATCACAGGTATACCATAAAAAATCACAAGTATACCCCAGGAATACACAGATATACCGTATACAGCAGGTATACCCCAGAAAAGCTTAGGTATACCCCATTGGCTGTTGAAGCTGCTGTGCTGGCGACTAAGGCAGATGATACAGTGGGGACCACAGGTATACCCCGGGTATTACGAGGTATACCACAGGTATACCCCAAATTTAGTGAGATATACCACTGGTATACCCCAAATTTAGTGACATATATCACAGGTAAATCCCAAGTATTGTGGGGTATACCACAGGTATCCCCCAAAAACCACAGGTATACTGCTGCTGAGAAATGTATTTTTCCGCTGGCAGACTGGGCATGCCATTCTTTTCCCCTTCCCCTCCCCCTGCTGCTCCCTGCCATTCGATTTCGCAAACCTATCCCCCCTCTTCAGGGCACCTCACCTCATTCTCTCAGCCCAAGAGCCCCCCTCTCACTTCCCCGGTGATTACCCTTCGCACATCGTTCTCAAAAGTGATTTCAATATGAACAGCGTTGCTCCCACTTCTCTCTTGATTACCCTTTTCCCTCTTCCACGCCTCCCACAGTGTTGCTCCCACTTCTCTCTTGATTACCCCTCTTTTCCCACTTCTCTCTTTTCCCTCCTCCTCCACGCCTCCCCCCTCTGCCCTCTCCCCAGGACACCTCGTTCTGCAGCCCAACGCAGTGAACAGTGTGCCTCGCCATGCACACTTGGAGATTGGTGAGTGGTTGAAAGGGGTGATGAGTGGTGGAAAAGGATTACGAGTAGAGTAGGCTACTGTTGTATTGTATGTGTACGTATACAAAATTCGTTCGATTTTCAGTTAATTCCTCAGTACATTCGATGGATACATATTTTTATGTATTTCACCCTGTCACTCCTCCTGTCACTCAAATTTTCTCCCAGCTCACCTCCTGTCGCTCCTACCCCTCGCGATTGCTGCTGCTGCTGCCGCCGCTGCTCCTTCCGCTGTAGATGTTCGAGATATTGATGAGGCAAGGCGAGATGGCGTGGTTTCCAAGGTTATGGATGCTGCTAGGAGCATTGCTGCAAGGCGGAAAGTGAAGGTGGAGAGGTGAGGGCATGGAGAGACTGTTTTATGGGAGGAGCATCGTGATGCAAGGGTGGGATGGTGTGGTTTCAATAGTTGTGGACACTGCTAGGAGCTTTGCTTCCAGACGGAAACTGAAGGTGGAGAGGTGAGAGAAGGGAGTGAATGTTGTATGGGAGGAGGAGTATGGTGTAAGGAGGGGATGCCTCACAAGAGGAAGGGTTTCAAGAGTCCAAATCGCCTCACATTCCTTCCTCACATTCCTTCCTCACATTCCTTCCTCACATTCCTTCCTCACATTCCTTCCTCACATTCCTTCCTTCCATAGATTCAAGAAAAAAATGTTCAGACGCTTCTGCTCATGCCGGCCTCTTCCTCTCCCGTCTCACCTTTCCCATTTCTTCCTCCCCCCGGCCGGCCAGAATGGAGCTGGTCAATGCCGACCCGCCCGCCCAGTGCAGCAGCATGGTGACGTCAGCTGTTTTGTCTGCAGTGCAGGAGCTGGGGCTGAGCCACCGGCGCATGGTCAGCCGGGCGTATCACGATGCACTGTTCATGGCAAGGTGTGTTACTGTTCATGGCAAGGTGTGTTACTGTTCATGGCAAGGTGTGTTACTGTTCATGGCAAGGTGTGTTACTGTTCATGGCAAGGTGTGTTTCTGTTCATGGCAAGGTGTGTTACTGTTCATGGCGAGGTGTGTTACTGTTCATGGCGAGGTGTGTTACTGTTCATGGCGAGGTGTGTTACTGTTCATGGCGAGGTGTGTTACTGTTCATGGCAAGGTGTGTTACTGTTCATGACAAGGTGTGTTACTGTTCATGGCAAGGTGTGTTACTGTTCATGCCATGCCACTTTATCGTTACTGTCCATGCTGGTCTTTCAGAAGACCCCCCTGGTTTCTGGGAGGGGAGGAACTCTCCTGCTGACCCACCCTTCGTCCTCTCCTTTCCCCATCCCCCCTCTTTCAGATGGGACGAGTTCCCTTGTTGATCCACCACTCTCCCACCCCTCCTTCCCCCCCCCCCACCCCCCCTCCCCTTCCCTCCATCCTACCCACAGGGTGGCGCCAACAGGCATGATTTTCATCCCTTGTCGAGCAGGTGAGCTTGGTTTGTCAGGTATGTGCGTTGGGTCGATGCATGTATCATCGTATGATACATCGTATATACAACATTGCGTATGATCGTATGAACACTAGACCCAGCTGGATTGTATCTGTGTGATGTATCATTCGGTCACGTGAAGGTTCATGATGAATTTTGTCAAAATTTATCAGCTTTCCGAGTAATCTGCATCACTAAATACCGTAGGAGACTAGCCTACTACCGCTACTTTTTTATTTTTGTAGGAAAACAACAAACAAAAAACACCTACGGTAGGAATATGTAGTTGTTTTCTTCTCCCTGCTCTTTTAAATCCCTTCTATTTCTTTCCACCTTTGGCCTTTTCCCCAGTGTGTAAGCCACCTGCGGTGAAACCTGCCATGACACCCGCAGTGACACCCGCAGTGACACCTGCAGTGACACCTGCAGTGACACATGCAGTGACACCTGCAGTGACACCTGCAGTGACACCTGCAGTGACACCCGCAGTGACTCCTGCAGTGACATCCGCTGTGACGACTGCTCTGCAGTATTCTTAGATTTCTGTTCCGTACCCAGTCTCCCTTCGCCCCTCAGGTGTGACCCACCGACCAGATAAATTCACATCAAAGGCCCGCCTAGCGAACGGTGTGCGTGTGCTGGCCCTCACCCTCACCCTCACCCTCACCCTCACCCTCACCCTCACCCTCACCCTCACCCTCACCCTCACCAACGTCTCACTCACCTCCTTAACCTTCCTACTCCGTTTTTTTACTCCTTTCTTCCCTCAGGTGTGAGCCACCGGCCAGATGAGTTCACATCAAAGGCCCACCTGGCCAACGGTGTGCATGTGTTGGCTCTTACACTTGCCAAACTCTCATTGTTGTGACTCCTACTGTGGCATCTGTCAGCTCTTTCCATTCTCTTTCCCCTAAGGCCCACTTGGCCAACGGTGTGCGTGTGTTGGCTCTTACACTCGCCAAGCTCTCACTGCAGTAACACCTGCCGTGACACCTGCTGTAACACCTGCTGTAACACCTGCCGTGACACCTCTTGTAACCCCTGCTGTGACTTCTGTGCTAAGCTCTCGCTGTGCTAACATCTGAATGACGTGGTGCAAAATCTCCAATTGCTGAGAAGCGTTGGCGGAAAGTGCCTTGCATAAACGCTCAGTGTATAGTTGTACAACCATGATAGCTCCTGTGCAGACTCCTCCTGCTGTGCTGACATTGTCAAACTATGATAATAGGTGTACACATGCTATAGTGGGGTACATCTTAGGTGGTACATAAAACTTCTCGACATTGTTTTTGTACCCCCCCCCCCCCCCCCCCCCCCCTGACCCTAATCATCGACCATTGATGTTTGTATACAGAGTCCTCTCCTGCTACATTGCTCTATCTGTACAATATGGTGTAACAGGCATTGGAATTTTTGGCCCAAATATATGCGATTGCACATCTGATACCATACCATACCGTATGACTCATGCACCATTTCTTACACAGTTATTGCCTGTAATGAATGGAATACACTACGGTAAATCCAGCTATTAGGGTCTGGAATCGGCAGGTTGTGTACATTTACTGTTCATGCTTCGTTGCTCAGCCTGGCTGGTTTAAGATCGAATCGAACGGTGAAAAGGGGTCTTGAGGTTTACCGTTTTGCACCATGACACATCAAACACAACAGCTGACAGCATGTGCCGTACATACTGACCGCGCCCTTACCACCGTTCGTTGTCACATGTTGGAAACAACAAGTCGTAAGCGCCTCTGTCGTGTCGAAACACCGCACCAAAGCGAAGTAAATCATAACGAGACACCCGCGAGTCAACCCTCGGAGGTTGAAAGTAACTGTTGGAGGTTACGCGAAAGTCAAAGGTCAGCGACCTTTGGCCCGACAAATGCAGCGCGACAGCAAGGACACTCAATTGACTCGATATTGAGCAGTTGCCCGAGTCGCACTGTATCGAACCGCAACAGCAAACAGTAAAATAGTTATCAGTCGTATCTCTTCGTATTCCTTGTACTCTTACATAAATCTTTGTACTTGCTTGCTTTAATTAACTTACTTTGCCCTCATATACCAGCGCAAGGTGGTTCATAACTTCTTTAAAACGCTTCCGCTATTACATCATCTCTACCCAGAGTTTACCCTTGCAAAGATCCTAAGGGCTGTCTCAGCCCAACATCACATACGGTGATTGATTTGCAATATTATCTTAGCAGCTAGGCAGCAAGCAAAGCTTGGTATTTCACCTGACCGCACCACAGGGCAGTATGGTATTACTGACCTTCAGCCTACAGATTATTTGGATGCATATTACGGTAACATCTTCATTGTTTCGTTTTATTTTAACAGCCTACTGTATTGTTTTGAGACATCCCACAAGAAGCTTTTTCTTAGGTCCGTTGTGTGTGACTAGTGAGTGAGCACATCAAGTCTCAGCTTTCGCAACCCCTGCAGCTCGAAAATTTCCACTGCCCTGACTCATTATTTTTGACCGAGGGTTTCTCGTATTGGTCGACGAACTTCCTGGCCGTGAAGGGACTTGCGGTGGGCTGGGGGCGGGCGGCGAGGGGGACTGCGTCACCAGTGGCGGGGGTAAATTACCCCGGAAATGATTCAAATTACCCTGGGAATGTTCCAAAGGCTCTTCTGTGTTGTTCCCCCCTGTCAAGCCAACCCCTGCTTCCAACCTCCCTCTTTCGGAGATGCCGCGTCCCCCTGCTGCTTGCCCCCTGCCCCCCCACCTCCCCCTCCACGTCCCCCACCTGCTGCTCCCCCTGCTCCCCCTGCCCCTCTTCCTCCCCCTTCCCCCACCCCCCCTCCACCCCTTCCTCCTCCCCCTCCTCTCCCTCCTTCCCCTCCCCTCCCCCCACCTCCCCCTCTCCCTGCACCTCCCCTCCCCCCTCCATCTCTCCCTCCCCCTCCCGCCCCCCTTCCCCCTCCTCTTCCGCCCCCCTCTCCCCTTCCGCCCCCTCCTCTCCGCCCATCTCCTCCCCCTTCTCCCCCTCCTCCCCTCCCCCCAACACTTCCACGGCTAGAGGTGCTACTAGCAGGGCTGCCTAGCTGCACCTCCCCTCCTCTACCATTCATCCCCTCTCCTCCTCCTCCTCCTCCTCCTCCACCTCCTCCTCCTCCGCTCTGTCCCATACCCTCTCCCCTTCCTCTGCCACTGGGCATGGTTCTTTCCCTGTTACCGCTCCCCACCTCCCTTCCTTCCCTGTTACCACTCCCCATCTCCCTTCCAGCAGCAGCAGGAGAGGGAGGGCCGGGGAGAGGGGCAGGCTGCTGCAAGTGAGGAGCGGGTGCTCCTGGGTTTCTCCTCCCACCCATACCTCCGGATTCCCCTGCTGCTGCTGACACTGCTCCTGCCCCTCGCCCTGCTACTGCTGCAGCTGCTCCTTCTCCTCCCCGTCCTGCCCCTCCTCCCGCCCCTCCTGCCCCTCCTGCTCCTCCTGCTGCTCCTGCTGCTCCTGCCTGGGATCCAGCAGAAGCAGAAGCACCAGCAGCAGCCAGCTGTTCATACCGGGCGAGGGCTTGATCTGTAGACGCCTGCAGCTGCCTTTGCTGCTGCTGCTGCCGCTGCTGCTTCTGCTGCTGCTGCTCCTGTCCCTGCATTGCACTTGCAGAAGATGCACCAGCAGCAGCGTCATCAGAAGCACCAGCAGCAGCCAGCCGCTCAAATCGGGCTAAAGCTTGGTCTGTTGACGCCTGCAACAGCTGCTGCTGCTGCTGGTGCTGCTGCTGGTGGTGGTGCTGCTGCTCCCGCCCCTGCCCTGCACTTGTGGAAGAACCATCACCACCAGCACCACCACCAGCCAGCCGCTCAAATCGGGCTAAAGCTTGGTCGGTTGACGCCTGCAACAGCTGCTGCTGCTGCAACGAGTTCACTGCCCGCCCCCTCTCACCTCCTACCTGCCCCCCTCCTGTCCCCACACGCTCCCCCCCTTCCCCCACAACTCCTGCTGTTTCCCCCCCCAGCAGCCCTTGCAAGCTCGCTAGCCCTGCCAAGCCCCTGCCCAAGCCGCCTAACCCCCCTGCTCCTCCTCCCCCTCCTCCTCCTCCTCCCCCTGCTCCTCCTCCCCCTCCTCCTCCTCCCCCTGCTCCTCCTCCTCCCCTCCTCCTCCCCCAGCTCCTCCTCCTCCTCCCACACCCCCACCACCTCCCCCCACTCCTTCCCCCCCCATTCCCGCTCCCCTTCCTCCTGCTCCTCGCCCTTCCATTCTTCCTCCAACTTCCCTTTCAAATCCCCCATTCATCCCACCCCCCATCCCGTTTCCTCCCGCACCCCCACCTAACAGCCCTTGCAGGTTAGCCAATCCCGCTAACCCACTGCCCAACCCCCCTAATCCCCCTTTTCCCCCTGCTGCTCCCCCTCCCCCTCCGCTTCCGCTTCCCCCTCCCTCTCCCCCTCCCCCTCCGCCTCCCCCTCCTGCTGAAACCCCCTCGCCTTCCCTCCCAAAGCCACTTCCCCCACCGATACTTAAACTTTTCCCACCGGCACTTAAATCCTCCTGCTGCTTTCTGTCACGCTCCGGGCTCTTAGCACCAGCTACCGTACTCTCTATAGTCTGCTCCGCTAACCACACTCGCAGCGGATTAAGCCTCTTTTTCAACAATTCCTGTTCCGAAGTGACCTTAGAGGGGAAACCCAGAACGGCAGACTGTGATTGGCCAGGAGGGGAAGTAGGAGATAGAGCTGAGTTCCCTCCTCTAGAATACTCGTTAGAAGCCGCCTCTCTATAAGCACTCTCCGCGCTGTCACCAGCCTCTAGGGAAATTTCAAAAACACCCCCCCACTTCCACTATCGGAGGCACCAGCACTCGAACCAACACTCACTCCCCTCCCCCCACTATGCTCCTGCTCCTTCACATCCTCGCCCCTTCCTCCCCTCCCCTCACCCTCCTCACTAGCACCTCCCCACTCCCCATTCCCCATACCCACATCCCTACCCCCTCCCGCACCACTGCTCCTCCCAAGTCCTCCTCCTCCCTCGTCCCCACTCTCCCTGCTGCTTACTCCTCTCTCTCCTCTCTCTCCATCCTTACTAGACATAGAACTCAGAGGAGCAAGAGCAGATAATAAGTCCTCCTTAGAAATAGAACCTCTCCGATTCATACTTAGTCCCCTAGGCAGATCACTCTGCATTGAAACCGAACCACTTCCCATACCTCCTCCACCTCCTCCCGAACCTCCTCCCAGGCCTACCAGGTTCCCTGCCGAGCGTCCCCCCGGACCTCCCGGCAACACTCCACCCGAGCCTCCTCCCAAACCAGCCAGGTTCTCCGCCGAACCTCCCAGCAGCCCTCCGAACCGCCTCACACCATCATCCTCCCCACTACTCATTCCAGCCCCTCCTTCCCCTCCTCTCCCTCTCCCTCCTTCCCCAACCGCCAAAGCAGCTGCTGCCGCCGCTGCCGCCGCCGCAGCAGCAGCAGCATCCCTCTCTCTCTTCTCCCTCTCCTCCCTCTGAATCCTCGCTAACCGCTCTTCCATCCCCTCCTCCCACTCACTATCCGTCCCCTCCCACTCCGTCTCTGTGAGTTCCCCCAGCGTTGATCCCCTCCTGTGCCTCCTCCGCCGCCCATACCCCGGACCTACAGCCATCTCCCCGCCGAAGCTGTTTCCCAAACCTCGGAGCAGGCCCGTGCCGAACCCACTGAACCCGCCGCTGCTGCCCGTACTAAGGGGACTACCCAAGGGGCTGCTGAGAGGGCTACCTAGGGGGCTTCCCCCCAAGGGGCTTCCCCCCAAGGGGCTTCCCCCTAAAGGGCTCCCCCCACGGGGACTCCCCAAGGGGCTGTGTAAGGGGCTTCCCCCAAAAGGGCTACCCAGGGGACCGTGTGCTATTAAAGAGGGCGTGGTAGAAGCACGACCATTAGAAGCACCACCACCAGCAGAAGCACTAAGAGCAGCGATACTGTCACCCAGCCCTAGCCCGAGGCTGATTTGACTCCCCAAGCCGCCAGCCGTTCCTGCTGCCAAACCTCCTGCTGCCGAACCTCCTGCTGCTGCTGCTGCCCCCTCACCACTACCTCCCGAAAGTCGCCGGACGTGCAATGAGGCATGCTCACGCCCCTGCCCATGTGCATGCCCATGTGCATGCCCATGCTCATTTGTACCTGTTGCATCACCCCCCCTCAAGAATCGGTCCCCCTCACCCTCCCTCCCCATTCCCATCCCCATGCTCATGCCCATGCCATTCCCACCCATACCTCCCCCCAAACCTCCTCCCATGCCTCCTCCCATACCTCCTCCCATAACTCCCCCCAAACCTCCCACCGCAGCTGCAGCCTTCTCAATCTCCTGCTTCATCATCTCAGCTGCCAAGCCTAACCTCTTCTCCCGAGCCTGCTGCCGAGCCAGCTGCCGTTCCTCCCGCCGAAGCTCCAACTCCTGATCCGTATCATATTCCTCCACCTCTACCTTCTTCTCCAGCCGCCATAGCCTCTCCTGCCTCTCCCTCCTCTTCGCCTCCTCCCTCTCCTCCCTCTCTGTGTCGTAATCCCCCTCTGTTGTTTCGCCCTCGGTGTTTGTGTCAAGTCCCTTTTCCCGCCACCTGTCCAGCCGCCCGTGAATACTCTCGTCATCTGACGCCGAGATGTAACCGCCGCCCCCACCGCCGCCCATGCTGCCGCCCACGCCGCCGCCATATGACATGTAACCGCCGCCCCCGTTACCACCTGACATGTAACCGCCGCCCGCTCCGCCAGATGACACGTAACCACCACGCGTGCCTGCGGAGATGTAACCGCTGCTGCTGCCGTCGTCTGATGTAACCGTACTACCGCCGATACCGTAACCCGAAACATCTCCTCCAATCCCTCCTGCTGCACTAGAACCACCACCAGCACCTGCACCAGATTTACTGTCACTACCCCCTCCAAACCCACCACCACCAGCACCATCGCCACCAGAGCCACCACCTGCAGTATGGTCATCCCGTTCAGTACCAGTGCTGGCATTAGCAGCAGCAGCGGTGGCAGCACCACCAGGGCCATTATCCCCAGGGAAAAACCCCCCAAAGGAGAGGGTGCGGGCCGGGGGAGAGAGCGGGGAGAGCGGCGAGAGGGAGAGTACGGAGGAGGGGAGAGGGGAGAGGGGGAGAGCGGGGAGAGAGGAGCGAGAGGGGAGTGAGGGACAGGGGAGGGGGCTTCGGACGAGGATGCAGGAGAGGGGGGAGTGGCTAGGCCGGGACTTAGGCTGAATCCTGAGGACACGCTTCCTAAAGGGGAGTTTGCTGCCGAGCCTGCTGCCGAGCCTCCGGCTGGCGAGGCTGTGCCGAAGCTGGGTGCGGCGGAGCTGGTTCGGGAGAGGAGGGATAAGCTGCCGGTCTTTCTATGGGCTACGATTCCTTCCCATCCTCCTGCCCATGCTCCTCCTCCCCCTCCTCCTCCTCCCCCACCTCCTGCCCCTCCCGCCCCTCCCCCTGAACCTCCTGCTCCTCCTGCTGCTCCCCCTCCTCCTCCTCCTCCCCCTCCCCCGCCTCCTCCTCCGCCTCCCCCTCCACCTCCCTCCCCTGCCGTATCACCAACCCGGCCCAGAGTCAACCTGAGGAAATGAGGAGGAAGCAACCTCCCCCCGCCCACCCCAGAATTGGGCGGCGAAAGTGATGCAGTACGGGCAATCCCTAGGGGACTGCCGCCCAGGTGAGTGCCGCCCCTAGCAGCAGCAGCAGAAGCCCCGCCTTCCTCCATAAGAATGGACGACATGAGACGAGGCACCCCTTCCCCTAGGCTGTGAATATTCGTACCACCAGCAGCACCGCCACCACCAGCAGCACCAGCACCCCCACCTCCAAGTGGACTGGCACCTATACCACCCCCACCACCAGCACCAGCACCACTGCCAGCACCACTGCCAGCACCACCACCCCCACCCCCACCACCACCACTGCGACTGGTAACCCCCACAATCCCACTAAGCGTCCTCCCCAGCCCACTAGGAGGGGTCCCCTTCACAAACGCTGTCAGCTCCGCTTCACTCATCGTCACCGAACCTGCCCCCCGGCCCGGAATCCCCGAACCGAACCTCCGAACCGGCAGGTTCGCCAGCTCAGGGTCGGTGGCCGGCAGCCACGGCACCTGCGGGCGGAGGTTCGGCGCGAGGGAGTGATGGGAGCGGGAAGAGGGGGAACCAGGGGAGGGTGATCCGGGGGAGGTGGGACCTAGGGACGTCCCTAGCATGTTGAGTCTGTCTACAGCGAATCTAGGGTTGGCGCTGCCCCAGGTAAAGCCTCCCCCGGATCCGCCCCGCAGGGCTGAGAGGTCTACTGAGGCGTGGCGGACGAGAGCAGAGGCGGCTAGGCGTTGGGCAGGGGACCGATTGGCTGGCAGCTGGGAGCGTGGGGGAGGGGTGGGAACATGAAACGTCGCCCCTGCTTCTGCTGCTGCTGCCCCTCCAACTCCTCCTCCTCCTCCTCCTCCTCCTCCTCCTCCTCCTCCTCCTCCTCCTCCTCCTCCTCCTCCTCCTCCTCCTCCTCCTCCTCCTCCTCCTCCTCCTCCTCCTCCTCCTCCTCCTCCTCCTCCTCCTCCTCCTCCTGCTCCTGCTCCTCCTGCTCCTGCTCCTGTTGTCCCACTGGGACCCTGCTTCCCTCCCCCCAACTGCTGCTGCTGCTGCTGCTGCTGCTGCTGGTGGTGATCTCTACCCGGGCTTGCCACGCTCCCTCCTCCCCCCCTCACACCCCCTCTCGGGCTCGAATCCCTCCCAGGAGAAGCACCACCCCCAGTTCCCACCTCCCCACCGCCACCTCCACCAGTAGAACCACCAGCAGCAGCACTGCCCGCCCCCTCCTCAGCCCCACTTGCATTAGGTAGCAACCCTAAGTTCTTAGCCGCTTCCAACCGTTTCATTGCAACTAACTGGGCGGCAGCGAACCCTCCGAATCCTCCGCTGCCGCCCAGCCCGCCGCTCATCTCTAGCAGCTCGGCAGGTGGCGCCGACATTTGCCGCCCGTGGAATCTCAAGCCGGGGGATAAAGACGCGGAAGCAGAAAAGCCAGACCCCAGACCAGATCCCAAACCTGAGCCAAGACCCGCACCGAAACCCGAACCAAAGGCAGACCCCGAACCAAAAGCGGAACTAGGAGGAGCAGCAGGCGGTTTCTGCACTCTTTCTAAAGGGGTCCCTGCAAGCAACGGTACCCCCTCCTCCCCTGCGCCTCCCGTTTTCCCTGATCCCCTCCTTCCCCCCGTTGCCCCCATTCCCCCTGTTCCCTCAGCAGCAGTACCTCCCCCAGTACCACCCGCACCAGTTAACTCCTCGAACAAAGGAGACGGCGGGGGGGAGGTAGGAGACTCAAGGGGGGTCCCCCCCCCTCCCCGCCCTCTCCCGCTACTCCTCTCCAACGCACCTCCCCCTCCCCCTCCGCCTCCCCCTGCCCCCGCCCCTCCCCCTGCCCCTGCGCCTCCCCCAGCAGCACGAGCTTCCAGGCGGGCTGTAGCGGCGGCGGTTGTAGCAGCAGCGTGGCCTGACGCGCCCGTGACTGCTGCTGCGGCCGCGAAGAGGGCCGCTTCTGCTGCGGAGGAATTCCCGGCTGTAGCGCTGCGGCCTAGGGGGCTGGGGCGACGGGGCTTTTCAATGCGCGGGAAGATTGTCGCGAATACTGGCGGCGGCTGCTGCTGCTGTTGCTGCTCGTGCTGTGGCGGCTGCTGCTGCTGGTGGTGGTGGTGCTCGTGCTGGTGCTGCTGCTGCTGCTGCTGCTGCTGCTGCTGCTGCTGCTGCTGCTGCTGTTGCTGCTGCTGCTGTTTCTCCTGCTCCCTATTATGCCCTAACGGGATAAAGCCTCTGAACCTCGTCTCCCTATCTTCGTCCTCTTCCTCCTCCTCTTCCTCTCCCTCCTCCTCTTCCTCCTCCTCCTCCTCTTCTTCCTCGTCCTCTTCCTCCTCCTCCTCCCCCTCTTCCTCCTCCATCCTCTCACCATCCGAGCCGTCCCGCGCCGCCCCTCCGCGACCATCTCCGGGACGCATGCCATACAACCCTAACACACGCGACTTTAATCTCTTAGTTCCTAAAATATCCCCCTTACCTTCACTCCCCGAGTCGCCATCAAGCGAAAGCGCGGCCCAACCATCGTCCGACACGTCATCCTCCCCGACCAACTCCGCCTCCCCCGCATCTTCCGCGTCGGATTGCGCAACATACAGCTTCAAACTTCTTCCCGAGCCGCTCTTTTCATCCAGGCAACCCCCCGCGTGTCGATCCGGCACTTTGACCTTAATTAGCCTTACTCCTCCGTCCCCCCACCAGCCGCCTAATGCCATTTCCGTCGCCCGCGCTCCCCCTTTCCCCCCCTTCCCTCCTGCGTCGCCTCCTCCGGACCGCCCCTTTTTCCCGCCATTCCGAATCGCAACCCTAGCCGCTGCTTCGATCGCGTCCGCCGCGTCTTCGAGCGCCGCCGCGGCGCGTTCCCCCATGCGCGCGCTCTCTTCGCGCGCTTTCTCCACGTCACGGAGGACACGTGTCATCTCCTCCTGTAGCCTGGCTGCCTCCCGTCGAGCCCGCGTCGCCAGCCCTGCAAGGAGCGCCACGTCCAAGAAATCGCCGCCCTGAACAGGCCGCAGCATGCCGTTAATCGGACGGCCTGTCTTTCTCCCCTTCCCCTCTCCTCCCGATCCTCCCGCGTCGTCCCCGCCGCTCCCAGTCCTGCCATGGCGGTTTCCCCCTCCGCCGCTGGTTCCGCGCGCTCGTTTCTCCGCCTTTTCTCCCGAGATCCCCCGTTGCCACTGCTTGCGCAGCTGGTTCTCCGCGCGTTCAAGCTCTACGGTCTGCAGCGAAGCCGCTTGGATGATCTGCTTATCGCCCAGCACAGCACGCTTCTCTCCCGGGAAGCTCCCTGCGACTGCTTCACGCGACGTTTTTTGCGAAAGATCTGGGTCGCCGAAAAGTCGCATCATTGTCTGTCGCTGTGCGACGTCGCTACTTCTAGGTTAATCGCATGGTTACGGTTGTCGCTGATGACGACCATCAGAGGGCGCAAGGGTGCGAAACATTTCGAAGATCAGACATCAAGGTTAGTTCATTCACTCGGATTAATTTCCCTACAATCTATACTCCGTTACGTCACAGGAAAATTGCTAATGGCAAAACAGTTCCTTTTTCAGCACCACGCTACTGTGAGTGCACAGGCGTCTGCTGAGAAAGGCCGCGCAAATTGCTAGAATGTTGGCTAGAATTAAGTCGTCTATTAATCACAAAACATAAATAAGATTGCGCCTTGTCAACTAAGGTGAGCGGAAGACACGGAACGGATGGTTTTGGGAAGCTCTGGTGCTTCAAGAAGTGCAACTGTGAGCAAATGATAACAAGAGCGAGGAATGAGGATGAATCGAGGATAGCTTCAAAGGTGCAGGGAGCTGTTTGTGGTGGTGGTTGGTTTGAAGGTAGCTGTGGGCACCTGGGGATTATCAGGTTTCACGAAGTGTTGAAGGTTTGGAAATTATCATCACTCGCAACTTATTCCGTCACACATTGTAACATGTCTTTTTCTCTCGCGCTACTTTTATGCACCTTCGTTGCGACTCTCGCGAGGATTTCGCGCATCGTTGTGCTGATTTGGGGACGAGTGTGGTTGGTTGGTCCCTTGAGGTAGACCCAAGGCTGTCCTCCTTTCACCCCTATCGAGCAAAACGACAAAATACATAACCGTGGCTTGGTGAAGTGGCGCAAAGCTGAAACTTGTGGCTCGCAAACCGCAGAGGCACAGGCTTGGAGATTGTTGTGGAACCTGGCTGGCTTGGACGCAACTTCCTCCCGATGTGATTCGTGGGCTCTGCCATACCTGTCAAGATTAGGTTCGAGGCTGCAGTTTGGCAGTTTTACTGGACATCAAACCACGAGCATGTCGTTTAGGTTCGGCTGGTGCCCTTGGTTCAGTGGCTCGGTTAGACAACTGCAGCGCCTTTCTAAGAGATGGGAGAGAGAAAGTTAACCCAATCAAGAATATAAGTGTATGATTTATGACTTTGTTAGTGTGATAGTAGACTTCGAGCAAGGCTTTACTGAGAGTGACTATATTGGCATCAACACAAAATCACTCCACTAATTTAGGTAGCTTATCAGTCTGGACGTGCTGGCTCACATAGTTGACATAGGTTTTACAGGCGCTCTGCTTGCCAGCTTCACACCATGATAGCTCTTATATGTGGTTAGAAGCAACAGTGTCACGCATCCTCGGTTCGCCTTTGAAAACCCCTGTTTCCAGCAGCAATCACAGCCGTCCGTTACCACAGTGACGATCTTCCATCCATCCATACCAGATTTCTCGTCATCGCCTTTCTTCCACCTGCAGCTCGTCAGACCAGCTCACGTAGCTCGCTGTTTCCGCGAGTTTCGCGCTTGTCCTTGACAGTTCTCGACATTCGCGAGCGCTCGCCACATTTCGCGAACATTCGCCGTTGTTCTCCACTATCTCGCCATGGATCCGAGCCCCATCCACGCTCAGGTTCAGCAGTTAATCTCGCGAGCACTCACCGGGATCCCTCCACTCCCCGCATCCCACGGAACCCTCGCAAATACTCAATCCAGTGATCCGAATCGCGTCCCCTTAAAGCCGCTTCCTCAGGCTCTCGCGAATGCGGGAAACCCTAACGCGTGTAAGATCTGCCACGTGGACATTTTGGGAGGGCCTAAGTTCCGGATCTGCCTCTCCTGCGGCGCTCCGTCGCATCTGTACCCCGGGACTCGGTCGTTCCTGGATGGGGGAGGTGGAGATACTAGGAGTAGTGATGTTAGCCGGGGTAGCTCGATCGCCGGCTCTTTACCGGGGACGAGTGTATCGGGGACGCCTAATGCGAGTAACGACAAGAGCGGTTTATGGCGAAACACCCGGATTGAGCGGCGATATCTGATGTCCCTTGAGTTCAAGCCGCAAGACGACAAGGTACGTTCGCATTCTCCGAATGTGTGTGTGTGTGTGTGTGTGTGTGTGTGTGTGTGTGTGTGTGTGCGTGCGTGCGTGCGTGCGTGCGTGCGTGCGTGCGTGCGTGCGTGCGTGCGTGCGTGCGTGCGTGCGTGCGTGCGTGCGTGCGTGCGTGCGTGCGTGCGTGCGTGCGTGCGTGCGTGCGTGCGTGCGTGCGTGCGTGCGTGCGTGCGTGCGTGCGTGCGTGCGTGCGTGCGTGCGTGCGTGCGTGCGTGCGTGCGTGCGCGTGTGTGTGTGTTGGTGTTGTGACACTGTAAGGAGGTGGTTGCTGAGTCGAATGAAAAGGCGGATTGAGCGGTGATATCTGCTGATGTCCCTTGAGTTCAAGCTGCAAGACGACAAAGTAGGTTACCGTTTCCGAATCTGTGTCGACGCTGAGTCCGTTGATTAGGTAACAAGGCATTTTATTATTCCTTGAAACCGGCATCAACGCGTCTCTCTCCATTTCCCTCATTCTATCTGCCGCCTCTCCTTTCTTCCCTCGTCTCCCGTCTCTCAGCCCGTCGCTCCTCCTCCACACAGCCCTACAAGCGCACCCTTGCCTTTACCCTAGAGGGAATCAACGCGTCTCCCCCTCCGTTTCCCGGGTTTCCCGCGTCTCTCATTCTGTCTCTCTCTCTCTCTCCTTTCTTCCCTCGTCTCCCGTCTCTCAGCGCCGTCGCTCCTCCTCCACACAGCCCTGCGAGCGCACGCTCACGGAAACCCTACCTTCTCTCCTCCTCCTCGTCTCTCATTATGTTCCTCCGTGTCTTTCTCCCCATTTCGCTCTTCTCTCCTCCTCCAGGTCCAGCGCCGCCGCTCCTCCTCCACGCAGCCCTCTCAGCGCACTCTCGCGGAAACCCTACCTTGACTCCCTTTCCTCCCTTCTCCTCATTCTGTTCCTTCCTCCTTGCCTGTCCTTCTGCCCATTTCGCCCTTTTCCCTTCCCCAGCGTCGTCGCTCCTCCTCCACCCAGCCATACGAGCGCACTCTCGCGGAAACCCTAGCGGGCATCAACGCGCCTCCCCCAGATGCGACCTCCACCCGAGGCAGCACCGGTGCTCGAGGCAGCAGCACTGGCAGCGCTGGCCGCACCTCGAATGCCTCAGGTGTCACCTCTGCACGCGGCAGCACGGGTGCGCCTCCCTCAGGTGCCACCTCCACCCGTGGCAGCACCAGCTCTACTGCTTCGTCTGGTGCTGGTGCTGCTGGTGCTGGTAGTGGTGGTAAAAGCGCTGGTGCTGGTGTGGGCGCAGGTGCGGGAGCAGCAGCAGCAGGAGGAGGAGGAGGAAGTGGAGAAGGAGCAGGGGCAGATGCAGCCACTGCAGCAGCAGCAGCAGCACCACCACCAGCAGCAGCAGCGGCTGCAGCAGCACCCGCTCCACCTGTTCCTTCTCAAGCGCCTGATTTCATTCCTGACGATTTCTTTGCCGCCCCATCCCCCTCTGTCTCTGCCACTTCAACTCCTGCTGCTCTCTCCTTCGCTCCTGCTGCCCAATCGACTGCTCTGCCCACGCCACTACCTGCTCCCGGCGCTCTGCCTACGCCCGCCTCTGCAGCCACCTCTGATCTTGCCGCCACGTCAGTATCACCTGCAGCTGTCCCCGCTATTCCCAGTGCGGGTGCCGCAACAGCTGCTGCTCCTTCATCGTTCTTTGCTGCCAGCTTTGGGTCAGCAGGGGGACAGCCGCAGCAGCAGCAGGGTGCAGCAGCTGTCGCTCCAGAGAGGCACAGCAGGTACGTTTTACTCAACAGGCCTGACTTGATTTGACTCAAAAATCAGCTTTGGTTCAGCAGGGGGACTGCAGCAGCAACAGCAGGGTGCAGCGGCTATCACTCCAGAGAGGCACAGCAGGTACGCTTGGTTCAATTCAAGTCTCAAAACACTAGTGTCTTGACTCACATGGTCTGCTTGTCGACTTGCTGCTGGGTTTGGCTATCAAACTCTCAGTGCCATCTGTCATTGGTTTCACGCCTTGAAAACAACTCTTGATCTCACAACTCCCTCTATTTTCTGGAAAAAGCAACCTCTTGTGCCTCCTCGTCCCCCTCCTCTCTCCCCCTACCCTATCGCCTTCCCCTTCCCCATCCTGCTCCCCCTCCCCCCACTGCAGTGGTTCTTCCGCTCTGGACTTCTTCTCACAGCTCAGTGGTATCACAAGCTCTGTCCTCTCTGGCACCGCCTCTTCGTCTTCTTCTGCACAACCGTCTGGCGCCACTCACACCAACGACCCTGCTGCTGCTGGCATGAGCTCTTTCGCCGGAAATTTCTCAGGCAGCTTCCCTGGGAGTCAGCCGTATGCCTCCCACGACGGGCAGTTCGGGCAGTTAGTGAAACCGGAGCCGGCGAATCCGGTGGTGCAGGAAATTTTGCTGTCGCTGCCCGACCTGTCGTTCATGCTTGCAGATCACCTGGTGGTGCCCGGGAGGGATCCTGGGGGGTTGAGGGAGTTTAATAGCCGCCCAAAGGTTTCTGCTGCATCTATCATTGCATCGTGCGTTCCCCCTCGGACAATAGCACACGCTGCAGCTGAGCTGACAGCAGGAGGAACAGGGGCAGAAGCAGGAGCAGCAGCAGCTGGTCTCGTTGATTCCGCTGAGAGTGCGACTACAAGTGTAGCGGGTTCCAATGCAGCAGCTACAATGGAGGTGGAGGAGAGCGAAAAGCAGCAGATGTCAGCAGCTGCTGAATTCGATTCTTTCCAAGATTCTCCTGCGGCGGGTCATGCTACAATCGCAGCACCTGCTGCAAACATGGCATCAGGCGCTCCTGGTGTTGGTTCCGAAGCTGCTGGGAGTGAGCCTGGGATAGTTCCACCAGTGGCAGAGACGTCAGTGTCCTCTGTTATTGCTGGAATGTCAATGGGGGGTTTTATGGATGCGGACGAGGATAATGACGATTGGGGCGACTTTGAGTCGTGATTAGAGAGAATGGGCTGAGCGTAGGCCGCAAAAAGTATCTCGTAGTTTATCATCAGTAGCTTTGTGTCGATCTGACGCTTCATGAATTGTTTGCCTTATCTGTAACGTTCTAGCCTGCATGTGTGATAATGACTGGAAACTGCATGTGTGTACTGACATGTGTGACTTGGTGACATCTGGTTTCATAGAGATGTAATCTATAGCGGTGCTCTACCATATTTCCTGCGGTACGTTTGTTGCTCATCAACGCTATTGGACCAGAGACTGCGAACGCACGTTTTCCCGCCATGCGAACACCATCGTCCGCCAGTGTCGCCAACGTCGCCCCTATTGTCCACGATACGATTCGGTCGTTCGGTGAGCCCTTGAAGTTACCAATACAGTAGCGCTGGACATTGGCCCACTTTGTTCCCCCGAATCGCGCCGAGCGCTTCTTCCCCTCCCCTCCCCTCCCACCTGAAATTCCCGCCAGCTTTGCGCGTACACCGACCTCCGCGAACTCCACACAAGCCTCCTTGTGCCCCCCCAACTTTCCTGGTTCCCCCCCAACTTTCCTGGTTCCCCTTTTCCATCCGCTTTCTCCCCTCCTCAACGCACCCTTCTCTGCCGTTTCCTCCCCCTCCTTTCTTCCCCCCATTCTCCTCCCCGTCTTTTTCTTCCCCACCTCATCAAACTCGTTCTCCCACCCTTCCCCACCTTTCCTCCCCTCTTTTCCCCCGACCCCCCAACACCAACAGGCCCAGCATCTCGACCGCGACCACCACCACCATCATCACCATCATCACTACCACCCACCAGCTTGACATCCGTGTTTCCCGCCGTCTTCTCCACACCTTTCCTGTCACTGCCACGTCACTCGCTTCATTCCCCAAGCATCCGCTGGATAAGGCGCGTCGCTTGGTGTGTCCCCTGAGTTTGACGGTGTGACCTCATCTTTGTTGTGGCATGTTCACATCACTCGGTCATAGTTGTCTTCTAGTTCTAGTTCTTAGTTACCTAGTCGTAACGTCCCGCTAAGTTATGTAACCGAAACCAGATCCAAATTTCCATATTTGACAAGCCTGTCTTCGTTGAGTACTTTCATACCCGATATAGCCTGATGACTCAGTGCTGACTCGTCAACTTCGCTGCTACAAAGCACCTGGGTAACGTCCGAAGCAGGCTTGCCTGGAATCCAGGTCGACGTTTTCCGGTTCTCGTGTGGTCACGCTCAACAATCCTCAAGCACGGACCGAGGTTCACGTGTGGTTATTAGGTTCTCGTCGTCCTCGGCATGGTAGAATTGGCCGACGCGAGCTGCTCTGACTGGGGCGACTGCTCCAATGGCTGCGCCGATGTCCCGCCAAATGCCTCGTCAGCAGATGCTACGTCAGCAGATGCCACGTCAACAAATGCTCCCTCAGCGGAGGGTTCTTCAGCAGCAGATAACCTTTCCGACTGCAAAGCCATCGTCAGCGGAGCTTTAGGGGGTTCCGAGCTTAGATCGACGGGGGGAGCGGCGGGGGAAGCGGAGGGGGAAGCGGAGGGGGTAGCTACTCCGGTGGTCCCCGAGTGTCCGGTGTGTTTGGAGCTGTACGATCAGGAGCAGCGCGTTCCGCGGCTGGTTGCCTGTGGCCACACGATCTGCCAAGCCTGTGCCCGAAATCTCCCTTTGACCCGGGTAGGCGCTAGGGGTGACACAGGGTAGACATTTGAGGGTGACCCATGTTAGGCACTTCTGAGTCCACTCAAACGGCACCAGTGCCAGGAATCTCCCTTTGACCCGTGTAGGTACTAGGGAAGACCCAGATTAGGCAGAGGGTGACCCACGTTACGCACTTAGATCTGAGTTGACTCAAACGACACCTGTGTCAGGAATCTCCCTTTGATCCGGATAGCCACTCTTGTAAGAAACGATGTTACCATGGTAACTTCCCCCTCGATACCATTCCAATCATCCTTTCCCTACCTCGACCCTCACTTTGTTAGCCTCCCACCCTCTGTGCCGCTTCGACTCTTGGCAGGATTTTTTCGGGAAGAAATGCATCAGCTGCCCAGAATGCCGGTGCCTGGTCGTGTGGAAGGGCCTCGCGAGCATGCCCAAAAACTTTGCCCTTCTTCGCATCATCGCCGATGCCAAAGACTGCCCGAGAGAAAAACGGGCAGCCACTCACGCCATGGAAGTCTGCCAAACGAGATTAGACTCCAGACAGATGGTTTTCCAAATCGCGGATCTGCTCTCCGTGGTTTCCGTGCTTTTTGGGATTCTTTTAGGGATGTGCGTTTTCGTTCCGCTCTGCTGCGTGTACCTAGCTCTGGGTTGGAGCATTGCTGCTCTGACGTTCCTCGCGTTCTCGATCCTTTCGACGGCAGCCGTTGGATTTGCAGCTGCTGGGCTTTTCTCTCTGCTCTCGTACAAAACCCTCAAGTTTCTCAACGTTTGCTCATGACGGGGGGATTGCTGTGGTGACTGGTCTGTGCGACTGACCAAGTTTCGGCATCATAGTTATTTATATAAGCTACTGAGGAGGTGAGCATCATCTCCGTGGCCTGGTGTTGTCTGGAGTTGAGCATTGTATCTGTCAAGAACAGAAGTGTTGGTTCATTGATGTGGGTTGGGGTACACATAACAAACCTTAACATTTGTACCCCCTATGACAAATCTCACTACACGCTACAACATTTGACACACCCCCATAGCCTAAGTGAGGGGTGTCAAGCAAAAACCCAAAGTGTACGATCACAAGACCAATCACAAAGAAACAAAACTCACGGTGGATCACAACGTCACCACACACTCCGAGCACAAGCAACAGGGGGCCACAAGGCTAGTCCTAGAGTTCACAAGTGTGTATAGCAAGAGTACAAGCAAAGCAACCGTAAGTTCAAGCCTATACACGACTAGAACCTGTGTCAACAAGGCCTAACTGCACACAACACCTCTGATGGTCACAAGGCGGAAGCGCCTTGGTAAGAATGTCTGCAGTGTTGGCCTCGAACTCCACAAACTCGAAACGAGCCTGTCCACGCCTCTGTAACTCTCGCAGAAGAAAATACATGACGTTAATGTGCTTCACTCTGCTCTCCAGTCGAGGCTCTCGACAGAGGAGAATCGACGCCTTGTTGTCAGTGAACAAGGTCGGTGCAGATCTCGGCCGCTCACCAAGGTCGGCGAGCAAGAACATCAGCCAACGCAGCTCCTGTGCCGTCATGGCACCAGCGTAATTCTCAGCCTCAGCTGTAGAGGTCGAGACCGAAGAGGAACTCGTGGACCTCCAAGAAACAGCTTCAGAACCCAAACTGAAACAGTACCCCTGAGTAGACCTGTGAGTCTCAGCGTCGTCAGCGTAAGAAGAGTCATAGTGACCAGTAAGTACGACAGACTGCTGCCCTCCAAAAACTAGCCACGCGCCTGATGTCGTCGCTAGGTACTTCGCCACCCTTACAGCCGCCGTCCAGTGAACAGGACGATGTCTCCCTGGCGCAACAAAGCGAGCAAGGATGCTGAGAGGGTAGGCAAGGTCCGGGCGGGTACAAGTCATCAGGTACACGAGGCAGCCCACCAGCTCTGCGTAGGGTCCACTAGACTCAAACGGCTCGTCAGGAAAGGGTCCAGTAAGTCTGTGGTCAACAGCAAGAGGTGTGCGCTGTACTGTGGAGTGCTGAAGCTCGAACCGCTGAAGGACCTGCTGCACCATGTGTGACTGTGAGAGTGTAATGGTGCGAGCAGCTCTGTCCCTGTTGATCTGCAGGCCAAGGTAGTGGCGCAGCTCACCAAGGTCAGTGCACGTGTGTCTTTTCTGCAGTTCAGACTTCACGTCTGCCAAGGCAACCCTGTCAGCAGTGGCGAAAACGAGGTCGTCGATGTAGACAAGAACAAAGAACGGTGTGGAGCCACGACGAACGAACAGTGACGGGTCGGCAGAAGACGGCTGGAACCCAAGGTCAGAGAGGGTGGAACAAAGAGTGTCGTGCCACTCACGAGGAGTCTGACGAAGACCGTAGACAGGTCGCCTTAGCCTCCACTGGGTCCCAGGAGGGAAAGTGCCAGTGAAGGCAGAGGGACGACGTAGCTAGACCTCCTCATGTAGGCTACCTTGAAGGAAAGCAGTGGAGAAGTCGAGAGAGTGTAACTCGTAGTCTCTCTGTGCTGCTACGTGCAGTAACACCCGAAGAGCGGTCATCCTCGGGATAGGCGCGAAGGTCTGGAAGAAGTCAACTCCCTCGCGCTGACTGGAACCTCTAGCCACGTAGCGTGCCTTGAAGACCGGAGGAGATCCCGGTGGCCGCTTCACCCTGTAGATCCACATGCCGTCGACTACGTTCGCCCCCGGAGGGGGAACCTCATCGACGTAGGTGCCTGTGGATGTGTAGGAGGCCATCTCTGCGTCCATGGCAGCTCTCCACTGAGAGGCCCAAGGCCCTGACACTGCCTCAGCGTAAGTGCGAGGAGTCGGTATGTCAAGGGCGTCGGGGTCTCCCTCAGGGGCGAGCAGCATGGCACAGAGATGAGAGGAAGCGGCTGCCAGGAAATCTAGCTCAAACTGCCCGTCCTCGAGGGCGTCACAACCAAGGGCAGACTCACCCCCGACGGCCAGAGGACTGGTAGGAGGAGCAGCCACAAGACCGGTGGCGTAGTCAAGGCGGCGAGTAGAGGCAAACTCAGTGACTGCGGCAGTGAGAGCGGAGACAGAGGACGCAGAGGCACGAGGGTCGGGAACAAGAGAGGCGAGAACACGAGAGAGAACAGGACGGTACGTGCGGTAGTAGTCAGTGACAGGAGTAGAGAGGGAAGCATTAAAGGCCGACCCAAGAGGAGACGGAAGCACAGACGGAGACGAACGAGGCGGACTAGAACTGAAGAGGACAGTACGGAGGTCAGTGACGAGAACAGGGGACGAGGGACGAGCACGAGGAGAGCGACAAGAAGCCCAAGTCTGAGAAGGAGGAGGGGACAACAGAGGCTGAGAACGAGGGAAATTAGCTGGGGAGGGGTCGGGGGGAGGAAGCGGAGGACCAGAAATGGGAGGAGAGGGGGAGGAGGAAGGAGAGGGAGAGGGGAGACCGAGGGTCCGAATACCAGAGACAGGAGGAGGAGGCGGCTGCTGCTGCTGCTGCAGCTGCTGCTGTACCTCCTGCTGCTGCGGCGGCTTCAGCTCCTGCTGCTGCTGCTCCGGCTGCGGCTGCTGCTGTTGCTGCTGCTGCTCCAGCTGCTGCAACTTTCACTCCTCTCTCTCCAACTCCAGCTGCTCCTCACGGGCACGGCGAACACGAGCCTGGTGCTGAGTCAGGTAGGGGTGGGGGGGAGGAGTAGTGTCCGGGGCTGCGGCAACCCCAGGACCGGCCTCCAAAGCACTTGGCTCACCATCCCCAGAGTCAGCACCACGAACAGTAACACTGCCAGGCTCACTAGGATCCGAAGGGGGCGGACCCGCACCTGAAGGGGGCGGACCCGCACCACCCGCACACCAGCTCCCGGTAGACACGACTCTCCTGCAACCACGGGCTCTGCTCCAACTCCAGCACCCTTAGAACCAGAAACTGTCACAGGGACGCTCTCAGCACCAACCCCTCTAGAGCTAGCACCAGCAGGACCCTCTCCACGAACACCGCAGGGTCTGCAGCAGGCTGCGAGGAGGATTGCGGGGAAGGAGGTTGCACCTGAGGGGCTACCGAAAGGGGAGAAGTAGCCTAGGACACACCTGACGGGCTGGACCAGGGGGGGGAGGCTGTACCGGGGGAGGGAGCGGAAGTCAGGAAGAGAAGGGGAGGAGGAACTGGGAGACCTCGACTGGGGTACCTGACGTAGTAGGGGGTGGACTCCTCGAAACGGACTCACGGGAGTCAAAGAACCGGTGAGAGGGAGGGTGGTAAAAGGTGAAGTCAGAGGAGTCCTCAGGGAAACCAAGGAAGACACAGGGAACGGCGCGAGGCGAGAGCTTGTCTGCGGAGGTGTCGCGGACAAGAGCCAAGAAACCCCAGACACGAAACCGCGACGCAACACCAGGGGACCCGGTCCAAAGACTGGTCGGTGAAGCCTCTGGCCGAGAGACACGTGGCCAGAGGTTCAGCTAGTGAGCGGCGTACCTAACCGCGTAGGGCCACAGAAAATGGGGGGCACGGGCGTGTGTCAAGGAGGTGCAGGCGATCTCCATGACCAGGCCTATGCGGCGCTCAGCAACCCCATTCTGCTATGGGGACTCTGGAAGCGTCCAGGACTGACGAATGCCCTGCTCGCGACAGAATCCAGCGAGAATGCCGGAGCAAAACTCACCCCCGCGGTCAGAGTGAAGACAGCTGACACGATGACCACGAGTGTCCTCTGTGGTAAGCAACCACCTGATCAGCGTAAAAGTCACCTCAGACTTCTTCGCCAAGGGAACACTGTGGTGTAGCGGGAGTAGTCGTCAACGACCACCAGAAAGAAACGCTCACGCTCGGGGCCAAGGCGAGGGGCGGGGCCCCAGACGTCCAAGTGGAGCGTCTCAAAAGGCTCGGTGGCCGGACGAAGGGAGGAGTGAGGGGTGGCGCGCAGCCGACCCTCGACGCAGGGACCGCACGGCGGGGCAAGCGAAGGCGGCAGCGACTGCAAGACACGCGGGAGGCCTAAGACAAGACTCTGGCGAGACATAGCGCGCAGACGAGGGAGGGAAGGGTGCCCCATCCGATGGTGCCACAGAACGGTGGGGTGTGCAAGTGACCGGCAGGAGCACGACGCAGCAACCGGACTAGAGACGGGAACCAGACCAGACAGAGCTACTTGAGGGGACGCAGCAACCTGGTGAGACGCAGGGACCAGACTGGGGGAAGTAACCGGGGCCGGGAGCAGGAGTCGCCGCTGCTGCTGCTGCGGCTGCGGCTGCTGCCCACTAGGGCCAGTGTGAAGTGTAGAGCCCGGCTAGGGAGTAAATGTGGCAAGAGGCGAGTAAGTGTCGCCGTCAACACAAACCGCCGTCTCACCAGAGGGCTCAATCCACACACCCATGTGCTGACTCACAAGAGGCCTCACGCCCACCAAGTTCCTTGAGAACGAGGGGACGTGAAAGCCAAGGTAACTCAGCAAGACTAGCACCTAAGCTACCAACACGCGAGTAAACAGAAGTAGAAGCACTAGAGTCAACAACAACATACAAAGCATTAGGAGTTCCTAAGAGATCAAGCAACTGAGAAGCCGACATGCCCCAAAGGGCCGAGCCGTGCGTCTGAACAAGAGGAAACCAGTCAGGGGCAGGGCCGCCAACGCCGAAGGCCAAGCGAACCGTATTAGTGAGCTGAGCAAAGCACTGACCAGGAGGGTGGGTGCGGCCACAAGGCTGGCCTCGGCAAGCACTTGTCAGAACCTGATAGGTGCACGAAGGGTGAACAACACCGCACTGGGGCTGACGCTGTCTTGGAGCCGAAACCTGGTGCTGCCGCTGCTGCTGCAGGGGCTGCTGCAAGGGGAGGGGCT